TATAATATTACTCATGTTCATACCATGACAGACTTGTCAACCAAGTAATGTATTATTATTGCAAAAGTGATTGAAAGAACGAATGATTTCCTAATATTGTCTATTCTTTACTAAAAATAGGAAATAAATAACGCTATGTGAACCATATAATGCCATCTCTTCCTTTTTTGATGTTCGGAATCATCTTATCGTAGTATAATGTTTAAGTACTTAATGTTATTTACATTCAGAGAATTTTGACTGTTAAAAAAGTATGTAATAATAAAATATATTAAAATTGCATTGTTTTCAATAACTATTCCGCATTTTCATGAAGAAAAATAAATAAAACGAGCTGAGTCTTGATAGTCACGTTTTGAATTCGGAACTATAGTTTATTTGTCAACTGTTAGTTTCGCCAAGGAGCATATAGATGGTGCTGTTATAATTTTACGAAATAAATATCGCGTATTTTTATTTAACGATAAATTATTTACTATGTGCTAATAAATAAAAAATAAACTAATTATTGAAGAGATACATATATGTCAATAAATAAGTTCAACTTAACTTTTAATCATTACAAATCAATATTAAGACAAAAAAACTGAAAATAATATTGTTTCCATTTCATCCGTGTAACTAATTAAAAATTGCTAAATTTGACATAAGAGCAATATTACTTTAATGTTAAAGTCGCGTCATGGTACGAACTAAGTGAATGAACAAAACTGCCAATAGAACATCAAGTTTTAACATTACAATAAGCTTTATTCTATCTATTATGAAAAGTCAATGTAAAGTTAAAGTAATATTGTTTTAAGAGGTTGTGGTAGGCCCCCTGGGATACTATAAGCAAAACTTGTTCACAATTGAATCATCAAAAAGAGATTAAATTAACTATGTCTATTATTACTGAATGATTTTAACTGTCATCACTGCGCTTGGGGTAATCACTACCTGCGCTTGGGGTAATCACTACCCCAAGCGCGGCTTACTACTTACTTAGGTGAACAATTTATAGAAATTATAGATTCTCATAATTTATGTGTTTTAAACTCAAGAGCTACAACTCTGATGAAAATGTGAGTGCTATGGACTTGTCTGTTTGTTTTTTTTTTTGACTAGGATTGGCTTCAGACATGAGTTGGTTCCCTCGTACTTCATCTTATGGTAGTGATCATTCTGCCCTTATTATAAATACTCCAATCAAAGTTACTAAAACAAAGTTACTGGTTACTAACCGAAACCGCGCATGAAATACAGATTATTCCAATCGCAAGCAGATTGGGAGAAATTTAAAACTATAGTTTATATATAATAAGACTAGGGATTTGCCGAACATAGACTGAAGTATACTGAAGCATTAGCGAAGTATCTTTTAGAGGCAGCAAATGAGACATTTCCAATAAAAAGTGATCGCTCTGGAAAAATTCCTTTACCTCTCTGGTGGGATCGGGAAAGCTCTGAGGCCATTAAAAAGCGTAAGGAAGCTGAGAAAATGTATAGAATGTGTATGTCACCTGAATATTATAACCACCTTTGCAATATTAATAATAACACGAGAAAATTACTTAAACAGAAAAAAAGAAATGGGCGGATGTATTTTTGTGCATCTCCAAACACAAGTCCATCTGAAGTGTGGTGTAATATTTAACGCTTTAGATAAGCATTCAACTCATCCACATTTACAGTCCTTTCCCCTTCTATGGCTATTTTTTTTATGGATCAACTCGCACCGCCACCAGTTTCTGAACCATCTATTACAAACAGTCATGATCTATAGTCATCAAATACAGTACTCAATAGTCCAGTCAGTTAGAATTAAAAGGCGTCTTCCAGAATGTAAAAGACAGCTCTCCTGGTGAAGACGGTATACCTTTCTCCTTTTTTATAAATTTAAAAGATTCTACTCTGTCTTATTACTTGGATTTAGTCAATAAAATTATAGCCACTGGGGAGGTCCCCTTTCCTGGACATCGCAAGTTATTGTTCCAATTATAAAACCAGGTAAAACACCTTCCGACTCCTCATCGTTTCGTTCAATAGCTTTGAGTTCTATTCTAGCCAAATTGACACTTGGTTAAAAATCATTTAGAATGGTACATTGAGAGCTATAATTTATTATTATTATTAGTTTCCGATATTCGTTTAGCATTTTCCACCAACGACTTTGTATTAGCAGCATTCCTTGACATTCATGCTGCTTATATTAATAATATAATTATATTAATGTTTGTAGAAAAATGGAAAGATCTTAAAGTATCACAAATGTTGACAATATTTATGTTTTCTATGCTCTCAGAAAGGATTATTCATTTAATATTGAAACTCTTCAGTAAGCAGACGATTTTCTTTTATATTCTATTAATCGTTCAATTAACACTACTTCCCGCACTTTAAATCATTCTTTAAATCTACTTAATCAGTGGTTACATGAAAATGGATTAGAATTATCAGTTGAGAAAAGTAACATAGTCTTATTTACAAGGAAAGGTGTCACACCAGATATTAACGTCCTATATGATGAAACTCCAATTCAAATAAAACCTCACGTTAAATTTCTAGGTGTCATATTGGACTAAAAACTTTCTGGCGGTCAGCACTGCGACTATGATGTCTCAAAATGGGAAAAGGTGTTCAATGTAATGAGATGTTTATCAGGGGTTTGTAGGGGTGCTCACCCAACTTCACTAAGACTAATGTACAATGCCCTGATAAGGAGTGTACTTGATTATGGTGCATTTTTACTTCAAAGAGGTAACATAACAGCCTTTAAAAAGTTAGATTTAATTCAGTATAAAGCATTTAGGATCAATGAAATCATCACCTACCAATGCCATGCAGGTTAAAAACGCAGAGCCCCCTCTTAGCTTAAGAAGACAAATTCTAAGTGATAAATTTTTATTCAAAACCTTTCAGTTTAGCACCATCCTCTTTTACACAAGCTACAAATTTTTAAAGAACATTTATGTTCACTTAATTATTGCGACACAAACCTCAATCTGCCTCATTATTAGTTTCAGGAAACTCTTATCTGTTGAAGCTCCCATTTACCACTCTCCCGTCTTACCTATATTTATTAACACTTTTGAGTCTCTCTCTTTAAGTTCTGCTACATGTTACAACGTAGGTGTTGATAAAAATGACATAAAAACAAACATTTTATTCAACTTTAATACAGACGAAAAGTGGTATGATTCATTAATTTTTACAGATGCCTCAAAATGTTCAGATGCTGAAAATGTGGGAGTAGATGAGATTTTTATACTGAATACAATATTGTTCAAAAAATTAAATTACCACCTGAGGCATCTGTATTTACAGGAGAATGCTTAGGCATTCGCAAAGCCCTAGAATATATTATAATAATGAAATTAAACAAATCAGTGTTTTTTACCGATTCCAAAAGTTCATTACAAGCTATTCAAAAAGTCCCATTTAAAATGAGGCCTTGTTATTCTATTATCTGTGATATTAGAGAAATACTTTTAAAATGTAAATCTTTAATTTATTCAGTAAGTTTAGCATGGATACCGAGTCATCAAGGCATAAAAGGTAACGAAAGAGCAGATCAGTTAGTTAAAGACGCGATGACTTGTGGAGATGTACATCCATATATCAATTACTGCCATGATTAAGGAATCATGGCAGTAAAAAGTTAAGGCCTTGAATCCATCTATTCGATTCATGGGAAAAACTTTTTTAACTAAAACCTCTCAATCGAAAGCAAACAGTATTTTAAAGTACAAACTCATATTCCTAAAAAAACCCTGTGTTGCTTAGATAGAATGTAATAAAACAATTGCTAGTATTATTGTCCGAATGCGTCTTGGTCATCTGTGCACCCCTGCATACTTGACTAGGTTACGTGAATATGGAAACGATACGGGAGACCTCGATCACATGTTCTTTTCCTGCCCCCGCTATGATCGTTCCTCTTTCCTAAATTCCCTAGAAGCCTTGAATGTTCCATTTCCTACCAGTCTGTCTTGTTTACCATCACATCCATGTACCTACTATAATGTTATATCTTCCTTTATCCCGGTCAATGATATTAAAATATGATTAATATGTATATTAATTCCTAACCTTAATCTTATTATATTTATAATACATAAATATAGCAACTCTTGTGATCCCTTTTTTCCAAATCCTGCGATTTGACATTGGCAAAAAGTCAAAGCTCTATTGCCATAACAAAAAAAAACTGTCATGTCTCAAATGTATTGAAAACCTAAAAATAATGTTCCGTTATTTTTCCAGCAATTGTGGGCGACCGGTATAACTTAAGAATGATTTTATGTACATAAAAATATAAGTAAATTTATACCAGGGACAAATAGTAAAAGGACAAAAGATGGGACATTGTTGTGACAATTGCACTGATCAAAATTTTGAATCAATGCTGTTGAGGAATAAGGTTGAAATATTAATTGGATCGCTGATATTAATGGCTGTATATTTATCTTACAAAATATATCGTTGCCAATATCCCAGGCGCAACATATTATGTAATTTATACAATTCGAGTGAGTTACCAGTATTACTGGTATGATTGTTTTAACATTACTGATTTAATAATATCAGTGGATACATCCTTTATTTCCCAAATATTTTTGTTACAGTTTTCCTTTAATTGGATGCAATTCACATTATATATACCCTCAGCATTAATAATCTGCGTTTTGTTTTTCTTAATGCTACGTCTGGTGTACCAAATGTACCGCTGTTACAATGCTAGAATAAGGTAATTCAAGAAGTAGTAACATCACGCAGCTGCAGCAAAAGGGTATGAGGAGGAGTGCGAAATCGATATCGCTACTATGTACAAAATCCTGAAGCTGCTCCATTTTGTGCAACTTTTATAATCTTCGCAATAATCAAATACAAGCCGTATAGCGCAGCGTCATCAATAAAGTAGAAAGAAACATACGTATGTGTAAAATGTAAAAATATTTATTAAAATAAATGTAGTTTACGCTATATATCATAAATTATATTATTTATATTATTTACAGTGTCCATATATCCATCATATATACTAGTAACTTGCTAAAAAAATTATATACTTGTTAGCGATTCGTTTCTTTCTGTCCGTATTCTTGAAGATTACTGCGAAAGTAAGCGTCTTTCGATACTTCGAAAAGAGTCGCGCTGTTTTTCTCACCAGTTTCACGCACCATTGAGGAAAATTGACTGTTGCTATCCGAAAGAAGAATATAGGGGTGATCGAACTCTACAATCTCTCCGTTCGACATAACAAGGACTTTATCAGAATCCATTATGGTGTTCAGACGGTGAGCTATGGTAAGCACGGTGCATGATGCGAACTGCCGTCGAATGGTTTGCTGTATAAAATTGTCCGTACTGAAATAAAATACATTCCATAATTAAAAGGATTGTATGAAACTCTTTTTTTTTATAATACCAAATGACGGTTAGAAGTCTTGCTCCTGGTGGTAAGTGACACGCCTGCCCACACAAGAAACTTGAAACATAAGCTGTAAAGTCCCACGTGCTTGTAATTTTACCAGATCCTTTAACCCTTCAAAACCAGACTCTTCCACAAGAAGCTCTACTGCTACTAGATGTTCAATCATCATTTTATGCAGGTACATAAGTGTAGAGTTTTCTGCTACATATACAAAAATATTCTTTATTGCACACATGAACATAAGAAAAAACAAAAGACTGGTACAACGGGCGGCCTTATTCATCAGCCCGTTAACACCCACAGCTGAGTATAGGCCTCTTCTTTTGCACGCCAACTCGATCGGTCACTTATTGCTAGATTGATTGCTAGATATTAATCTCTTTCAGTCAACCTTCTGGTTACAGGATAAACTTGAAGAAAATAATCAATTGAGGGCGCAACAAATGCTACGTATTTCTTACGAACGTACGTGTTTCTTTTCCCATAAATGTTAATTGTGATTTATTAACCCGTCCATGGCCACTAACAGCGTTTACCGTAAAATTAAATATAAAAATATTATGATAGTACGTTGTTTTTACCGTACGATTTCCAGGTGTTTTCTGTGTAGTTGACGCCTACTACTTCTCCATAAAGAAATATCAACTCATAAAATTCGATAATTTACATGCACACATTTGTGGACCAGTGCGGTGGACACCAAGGTGTTTGTGCGGTTTCTACGGGGCGATACATGTACATGAGAGTGACATTGAACTTTCTAACAAGACAAGTAAGTTTACCGAAATATTTTCTCTAAAACGCGTATATTTTAGTACTAATCAAATATGACAAAACGGCAATCATCCTACTATTCATCATAGCCGTACCTTCTTAAATGTTTGCGGGGTCAGCCGTCAGTGATAAGGCGTAGTTATTATATTGAATCAATATAAACTCTACGGCACAAATAACAGAAGTGACATTTTTGTCTGCGATACTATTTAATTACTGTCAAACAACTTTATGTTACTTTACTTATTTTTACTTTAATTATTACGGACAAACCAATTACAATAATTAAAGAAATAATATTAACAACTTAAAAATAATTATGTAATGTTAGGTACCTTTCAAGCATCTCTTTTCACAATAATACAAACATTCTGACAATATTCCTGACCATCCATCCGTAAACAAGTCGCATTCAGGGTTGGTGGCAACGAGAGAATTGAGCACGCTACCGTTTGGGAGCACGGAGTGTTGTTTTCTACTGCGGTGATAGTTGTTAGGCGCATTGAGTCGACACAGCTCACCATGCAAATCTGGGGAATCTATATTACCGCGCAGAATTTTGCAAGTAACCACAAGTTGGTATTTCATTCGCCTAACCTCCTACTCGCCTAACAAGAGTGAATACGCACTTTCCTGGCTTTCTCTACGCTCAAGTATATCGTACCAGCAGAGCTCATCGTGAAAGAGCTCGTCCAGGGAGATACTACCACCTTACTTATTTCTACCGCCAAACAGTAATGTAAGCGTTACTCATTGGCCTACCAAGTTTTACTGTATTCCGGTTTTGAAGGGTAAGTAAGGGTAGAAAAAATTATAGGCACATAGGATTTGTTAACTTATTTGATTTGAATTGTTATTGAATTGATAATCAATTATTTTTTCGCGAAATTACTCCGCTAGTTTGTTATAATTATTAATACAATGATCGAACACTCAGAAAAAATCCTTCGATCCGGCCGGATTCGAACCGACGTGTTCTAGCAAACAAGTTTTTCTTATAAATTACTTTATGGCTTATCATTATGAAGTTGGTACAAAAGATTCATAATTAATTTTAGGTTTAGTTCGCCTTTGAATCATTTCACCGCATGTTTTGAAATATTGAGAATAAGTTCTGACAAATACACGGTTATCCCCGATATACATGCATGCCAAAGGCAGTGTGTTTAGTTTTTTGAACAATGATTTATTTACATCTGTCGTCGAAACATGCACCGCAGTAGCCCGAATATACTTCTTCTGAACCTTAAACGCATTTCCAAGGGCGAAAGATTTGAAGGGCCAACAGATACTTGTTTTGCTCACCTAGGATCCACATTAGCAGTGGCTTCATCCATAATGAGAATTTTGTTGGACCTAAGCACTGCTCGAGCCAAGCACATCAGTTGCCGTTGTCCCACAGAAAAGTTTGATCCTCCTTCCGTTACTTTGAAATCCAACGAAGGCATGGAAGATTTCATATCGACCTGAGAAACAAGAATCTATTTAGAACAAACACTGCTAAATCACTTTGTGTTTAATTACGTTATCTCGTTTACCTGTTCAAGCGCTCTCCAGATTTCGTCGTCACTGTACATATCAAATGGATCCAAATTGTATCTAATTGTCGCCGAGAACAGGACAGGTTCTTGAGGGATAATGGATATTTTTGATCTAAGTCCCTGTAACAAAACATCAGATGTAAATTTACACTGTACAAGTTCTCCTCTGATTGACTACAACATAACCAAGAACATACACTATTTTGACGTCATTGGTGGTTTCTAACAATAAAACGCATTCAAAGCTACTTAAATATTTTAGACAATCATTTAAAGTGTAAAATATTCTGCATTATAGTATAAATTAGTATATTAATCATAGTAGAATAAAACAAGTAGGGTAACTCGTACACATTCGCATAATAATGGAAGGCGTGTTAGGACGACGCTGGTGGTACTCTGAAAAAGATCAAAATCCCGTCTTAGATCTAGATTATGCAAATGGCAGTGAATATCACTTAATTCCTCTTTGATAATGATAAAAAAATTATTTTCCTACACTTGGCAAATATGCGTGCCAATAGATAACGCTTCCGCATATGGGTAGATGGCGCTAATCCTAAACAAAATAAAAGAAAAGTGCAATATCTACAAAAATCTGTGCAATACGCGCCATCTAGTGGATGTGTTTGTTATCACTAGAAATTAGAATAGCTTTGATAAATTGCAGCTCGTCAATGTAAAACAAATTAGTTCCAAAAATAGCTATTTGGTACTCGTCGAGACATCTGGTGCACCAATTAGTACTAAATACCCGACCACGCTGTCTTGTATCGCGATTAGCAGTCCTCTTGGGTTATTGATCCATGGTTACTATAAGGGCAGTATAATTATTAATACAAGGATCGAACATAATGAAAATATCTTCGATCTGGCAGTACAATATCTCCTCACAACCTCTTGAGAATGCTTTTTCAATAGTAACTCACCATTGTACAAGGCCTCGAACTCATTTAAACCTCTGTGCTTGTCCAACACTGGACAGCACAAACGACATTAAATATTTAGGTGTCATAATTAACAATCATCTTAATTTCAAAAACCATATTGTAGTGCTTACTTTTAGAGTTCGGAAATTGATATATGTTTAAAAAAATTTAAGATACGCAGCTAGCAGCGCCCTTCTCAAATCACTGTATTTAACCCTCTGCCAAGCATTGCTACTTTACTGCATTACGTCCTGCGGCGGTGCACATAAGCAGTGTTGGGCAAAATTTAATTGTTCTGGCAATTAAAGATTGACAATTAATTAATTAATTGTCAATTGCGAAACAGCTAGAGTTTTCAGTTATCAGCTAGAGCTTGAGTTAGGGAGTGGGTTTGAGTGGGTTTGGGTTAGGGGGTGGGTCACTCACCCCTGACCGCCCCCCAACCGGCCCCCCAACCGACCCACCAACCGGCCCCCCAATTGTTTCTTAGAACAACTAAAAAAATTAATTGCAATTAATTTAATTGCAATTGAATTGATTTTTTAATCTGATTGAATTTCTGATTGAAATTTAATTAATTAACGCCCAACACTGCACATAAGACCACCCTTATAACTTCCGTGCTTTCGATTATCCAACCTGCAAACTTCTAAATGAGTGCGGTATCCTCTCAGTTCGGCAACTGTTTATCCAACAAATCATTTTGAAAAAGCACTCAATTACTCCATTTGATTTCGTTACTTTAACCATGGACCAATAACTCAAGAGGACTGCTAATCGTCATACAAGATAGCGTAGCCGGGTATTTAGTACCTGTTGGTACACTAGATGTCGCGACGATTACCAAATAGCTATTTTGTAACGTTATTTTACATTGACACATTGAATTTTATCAAATCTGCTTCTAGTGATAACAAACACATCAACTAGATGGCGCTATATTTTACCTCAAAATGGATACGTACCTGGAGTCGTATACAAATACATTGTAAAAAAAAAACAATCGCAACTCGCAACGTTTCCATCCTCTAAATAATAACTAGAATACTACTTTGTCTATTCTAATGCCATTTAGACATATTGATAGTTTAGCTTAAAATAAAATTATTCATATTTCAATGTTACTGGGTGTAAGAAGCGAGAAAAAACAATGGCTACGGTGATTTTAGGCTGAGAACACCGAACGTGAGAAATAATATTTTTTTAATTTTATTTGTAATTCCAAGAAGTATGATATAGCGTTAAATATCGCAGATATTGCATTAGTCCCAAAGGGTCATATCGGAACGCCACACAGTGGGCCCAAATTGATAATTCTTGGACATAGGAATAACTTGTGGAGTATCGAGCAAATTTTTTTATGTGATATATAATAACATTCCTAACAACTTTTATTCTTGTATGATTTCTTGAAAAGTTGATAGATTCAGAGAGAAAAAAATTTTTGTATGGACAAATATACATTTTATTTTTTATCTCAAAATATACGAAAATCTAATGTGCGTGGGTTACTTACAGTATAGTTCCCACCATTTTCTATGTAGAAATAATAAATTTTCTATGTAAAAATAATCCGTCTGCATGTACTTGCGGTTTTGTAAATAAAGGTGCGGCAAAATTGCTAACTCTTTTATGTACTTTTTTAACAAAATACATGAGCTTCGTGTAATCTGTGTGTAATATGTCATCTATTACAAACAGTGCATAAAGTCCAACAACCCAGTATAAATTAATCTGAAGGTAATTACAAATAACGGAAATAAAAAGTATAAATTTTAGGCTAAATAATTATTTAATCATGAAACAATTTTAGGAATACAGAGCTGATTTTTTTCACATGATACATAATAACATTCCTGATAACTTTTATTGTTATGTAATTTCTTGAAAAGCTGATTGTTTCAGAAAAAATAAATTTTAGTTTTTTTTGTTTGGAGAAATAAACATTTTATTTTTTATCTCGAAATGTAGGAAAATGTAATATGTGTGGTTTATTTACAGTATAGGTTCAATCATTCTCTATCAAGAAAAAAATAATCCATCAGCAGGTACTTGCGGCTTTATGAGTAAAAAGATGTCAAAATGTTAGATTTGTTATTTATTTTTTAACACAATATACTAGTTTCTACTTAACTTTCGTGTTATTGTTATAACGCTCTGTGTAATTTAGCACTAAAATTAAATTTTCTTTAATCGAAGCTCATGTATTTTGTTAAAAAAGTACATAAAAGAGTTACAATTCTGCCGCACCTTTACTTACAAAGCCGCAAGTACATGCAGACGGATTATTTTTTTCTACATAGAAAATGATTGGAACTATACTGTAAGTAACCCACGCACACTACATTTTCGTATATTTTGAGATAAAGAACAAAATGTATATTTCACCACAAAAAAAAAATTCTCTGAAACTATCAACTTTTCAAGAAATCATACAAGAATAAAAGTTGTTAGGAGTGTTGTCTATCACATAAAAAAAATTATCTCGATACTCCACAAATTATTCCTATTTCCAAGAATTATCAATTTGGGCCCACTGTGCGCCACCGCAAACGGATGACAATTTACACTTCCTTTAGGTTATACTATATTGCTCAGATTTTTATAGATACTTCCAAGTATTCTTTTATTTTGTTTAGGATTAGCGCCATCTAACTATATTCGCAAGCGTTACGTTATTAATTAGTTAACAACGAACAATGCCATCTATTGATACGCATAAATATCGAAGTTCAGAGAATAATTTTAGTTTATTACTAAATATTTGAAAAACATTATAATAAAAATAGAATAACTACTATATTTCCTATAAAAGAGGAGTTAATCGATATCCACGGCCATTTACGTAAATATAAACTAATTCCATGCTATCGATCAGCGCCATCTAGAAATAAGACGGCATTTTGACCTTTTTCAGAGCTACGATTTTTAATATGGAGATTAGCAGTCCTCTTGGGTTATTGGTCCATGCTTTAACCAACCACGAACAACTCGATACCTTTTCATCTCGAGCACAACTCCGCACAGCACACTCACATAGATTCTTTTGCTTACTTAGTACATTCCTTCACTCTAAATTAAATTCTAATTTGCATTATTTCGCCATGAATAAATAGAATGTAAAAGAACCGTCAAACTGTGGCTTAAGAATAAGACTTACAATGAAACAGAGGACTTGCTGGAAGTTGTTTCATAATTACAATTTGTTGTTCTATATAGGTAACCATTAATTTATAACCACTAATTATTTTATTGTTAAATATAGAAAATCTATTTTTGAGCTGTAATATAAAGAAATTTGCCCATAAAGATGCCTAAAATACAGATATACATTTACTTAGTTTAGGCATAGCAATTACACATTAGATGCTAATAATATATTAAAATGTATAACTTTACTATGAAGAATGTATAATCAAGATTCCCTTATTAATTCTTACTTGAATACTATATCTTTATTTACATTTGTTTTACTTGTATTGTATTAGTTTAAATTATATTGAAATAAATTTATCTTATCTTATCTTACTCGAGCCTGCATGCCAAATCATGGCCACTGCTCTACCAACTCAGCTACAGATCGAGTGAACAAATCTTACGAATTTTTCTATGCGTTTGTGAGGGTGCCTATAGATTTGCTCGATTTTTTGACGATCGGCTCTTGTGATCAGATATAATTGAACAAAATGTGTAAGCAACAGACTATCGACAACGTATTTTTTCAAGGTCGACACTGTGGAATCTAACCTCTTAAGACTCAGTGCACATGAAAATGTTCATAATATGTGAAGTGATTCAGACCCAAACAATTCCTATGATCACGTAAACGCTCAGCTTATAAAGAAAATATCGCTTTCAAATTTGACGCTTTAGTACACTCTATATCGTCGCCTTAAAATGAAAACCTCGCATACGCGTTTTCACATAGTTCGTTTTTACTGATTTTTGTTGAAGAAATACATATCAAATTCTTGCTCAAATATATTATTAATGTAATATTTAAATGAGGTAAAATTTAACTAATTAAAATGCTAACTACAAACATTATTGCGTTTACTACATTTTACACTCCATCTCTAATCTGATCCATCGCAAGTAGGTCATAGTAACAATTATCACAAATCGATCAAATCTGTAGGCACCTTGACAGATCTTAATGTGTTTTTATTGCTTTTTATCGCTTTTCAAAAATAGACTAATATATATAATGTATATTCAATAAAATCATTAAGTAAATTCACTTACCTGCTTTGATACGAGGGCGGTATCGAGACCATCAATTGCTATTAAGCCGTCGATGTAGGCGAATCGGAACACGGCCGAAATTAGGGAAGATTTGCCTGCACCCGTTCTACCGACAATGCCCACCTGAAAGTTTAAAAAACATTTGTTGCTGGGTTGAACAGATACTATACGGCGTAACACTATCGCATATACATGAAGGAAATCCATACGCAAATCAGTTTCCTAATCAATCTTGAAAATTGTAATATTCGGTCTTTGTATTAATAATTATAATAAAACTAGTGGACTAATATCCCAAAAAAATAATTGGGTATCATGGTGCTGAAACATTCTGACATTCAATAAAAATTTAATTTTAATATTCTTTAATGGGCGCATCAAATAATGATCTGGCTCGCTTGTATTCGTGCAGTTAATCATAGACCTATACTTCGAGAAGTAGCATTTAAACTATAGCAATTAATAGCATTCTAGTTCGTATGTCCTAGATAGTTTACCTTCCATCCATTCTCAATGCAGATGTTAAGATTCTTCAACACTGGCGGTTCGTCAGGAGCGTAACGCAAATTGACATTTTGGAATACTATTCTGCCTTCCGATGGCCATATTGCTGGTGTGTGAATCTCTATAAAAATAATAAATAAAATAACGTTATTTGACAGACTGAGAGCAACAATTTTATGATTACCACGGTCCCCACACTAGGCTAGCTGTATCGCGTATACAATTGATTTAATTATTATAATGCTTAGCCAGCCATTATAATGTTTAACAAGTAATCCTAAGACATGTTGTGTTGGTACATTATTAATATAAATATTGATATTTAAATATATAACAGTAATAAGTAATAAATAGCAATTTATTATAACAATAACGTCACAATGCTGCTACGACATGTAAACCATTTTAACTGCCTCTGTGGCCGAACGGTCACCATGCTGGACTGCGACGCAGATGTATCGGGTTCGATTCCCGGGCATGGAGAAATATTTGTATGGCCTACATCTATGTCTCTCGTGAGTTTGGGTGTAATTTATGATTGGCCATATATATATACGCGGGTACGAAACACACGTTTTGTAATTAGAGCACTGTCGTCAATTGACAACTTGTATATGTGTATTTATTACAGTTTTGAGAACGAAGAGTACACGGACATTAAGAACACCCTCTAAAAAAGGATAATAAAATTTTTGTACTGTTCATCAAGAATGATGTCGTATACGTACGAGAATACAAAGGAGATGGATTATTCATAGGTAGTTTTATAATTTCTCATCTCGCTATCGCAATTGTTCATCTGCTTTATTTAACGGCAGCCCATCCAGTAGTTCAGAAAACAGTCTAGTACATTATACCTATGTGGTTCTCAGTTACAAATTAAAGTTCTCAAAATTGTAGTAAGAAAAGGGTCACATAAGTACCTAACGTAATTATAATTTCATCTAATAACCATACAGTTGTTTGGCACAATTGGTATCAATTGCCTGGTCTCAAACTAGAGAATCCCCTGTACCGCCTCAGACCGAACCAATTTAGAAAAGTTCATTTCTCAAACTGGTCCTAACGGGAATTGAACCCAGGATCTCCGCATCCAGCGCCCATCGTATAAATCGTAAGGCCACCAAAGTTGTCAAATTTTAAAAATTAAGATATTCAGAAAAATCGATAAAAATTTGCCTGACAAAATAATAAATATTTTGTGATTGTCAAGATTGTGATATTTAATACCCGATCCGAAAGGTGTGGCTTTAAAAATACTGTGTTCTGCCATTTAGAAGTCATGTAATTCTTACTTACGTCCTTCGAAGAGGTTCTCTTCGTTCTCAATGCGCGTGTACTCTAGGATTCGCTCAACACTGGTGAGCTGCGCAATAAACTCAACAAGCATGCGCGCGCCGTGCTGCAACATCGCCGTCAACGTGCTGCTCTGCGTCACCGCGAGGCCGACGCTGCCCACAGGGATTATGTCATCTAGATGAACAAAATGTATAAGGCTTTATTATCGTCGGCAAAATTTCAAAACCCCGTAACTCCGTGTACACTATATCGCACCTTTACAATGAAGGTGACCTAACTCAACAAATTTGTTTATACCGTAAAACGACTTTAAAAATCATTGTTCATAAGGTTGTAACAAATCAGATCCAATAATGAGAAACATTGTTTGAGGTAGTGAATTTGAATATTTTATCATTATTTTCCAGGACTATATAATGTTAAGATGTCACAAGTTCAAATCTTATTTTGCGTATTCTGAAAAAATTTAAATTTGATGTTTGGTCACTTTCATTTTAAAGGTGCGAAATATAAATAAATATTAAACAACATCACATATGTTCCTCTGATCCCAAAGTAAGTAACTGAAGAACTTATGTTATGGAAATCGGAAACAATGACGGTACCACAAACAACCAAACATGACACAATATAGAAAAGTCAGTTTTTCTACATGGGCCGGAGATCGTACCCGGGAGAGATGACCCTCAGACCCTACCCTCAGAGATGGCGACAACATGAAAATGTTGCAAGCCACTCAACTACGAACGTCGTCAAACTAAACTCACGGATTCCTTCTTTACTCTTCAACCGCAATATTCAGCAATTAAAACTTAATTTACTTTAGTTTAATTTAGTTGTAAAATAAAGATACATGATAGATTATCATATAAAATAATTTCTAGTAATCCTGTTTTTTATGTCTATTCAAAATAGCATATTAATAGATGTTTACCACAGACATTAGATATATGTCTGTGAGATTTATGAATTTAGACGACAATATCTACCTTCGGTGCCACTCTTGATATTTTAGCTGTTCTCTTCTCTCTTCTCCCTATAAAAATATGTGTTTCGTAGAAATATTTTCACAAGCCATAAAAACATAGATGTTGTTTTAGACATTTAGTATAAAAATAAAAAAGATATATGTTAAATATTTTCATTTTACGGGGAAGGAAATGTAACAACCTTTTAGGTACAGTTAAATTGACCGTACCATGTACCGTGTATACTTACCGAAGTCAAGATACAGGAAAACGAAAATGACCGTAGCTAGATAAAGTAGGCACATTGTGTCCAAGTATAGCGCAAACGTGGCTCCACCACACAAATATCCGTTCCATGCAGTCGTGTGCAAGTCCTGTAAATGAAGCAGTCGTGAGAAATTCTTATATTTTTATGTTTTTATTTTTTATTTTTTTATTTATACAGGTACAGTTTTAAGACGCCTTCCAATCAGACGCTTATAGAAGCTCTGCAGTGGCGCCACTGTGGCGCTGCAACCGCCCCAGTACTGATTTTCATACAATATTTAGAAGAGCAGTTGCGGAGTAGCGACGTGCTCGCCTATTTTTGAAATTATAATTAGGATGCGGTCCCACTATATTGTGAAGACAGATAGTCATGCAATTTAAAGCGTCCTGGCTTGTATATTTAATTGAAATTGTACAGGTGTACTGGCTCAAGGCCAAGACCACTATCAAGAGCATATATACTGCTCAAGACTAAAACCAAGACTGTTAGTCTCGTCTTGGTCTTGCATTTGGGCAACACTAACTTCTAGTTAGGCTTGAATAGTCATGTCCATATTAATAATAAAAATAAAGTTCATAGTTACTTGATGAGTATCAAAGTCCTTGATGAGGTTTTCTTGAGCGCCGCAAGATCTTATAGTAGCTATGCCGTTAAGGGATGATGTTACCATTCCAAACACAGGACTCTTTGCTAAAAACAGTTAATTATGTAAGTTTTGCTACTAATACCTGCTTCTGTTTATATAATTATCAGAATGATGACATTTTAAATGAAATCTTGTTAAACCTCCCATACAATAACTGCTTCCGTGCCCGAACGGTTACCATGGCGGGCTGCCAAGCAGAGGTCCCGGGTTCGATTCGGGCCGGGAGAAATAGTTGTATGGCGTACATTTCTTTCCCTCGTGAGTTTGGGTGTAATTTGTGGTTGTCTATGTGAGTGTCAATGGCACCCGCGACACAGGATTTCCCTAGAGCGGGGCTATGTTGAGTGTGTGCGTTAATTAATGTAATATAATTCGTGTTGTAGAAATGACAGATTTTTATGAAATGTTTATTTTTTCTTCTAGCTACAGTTATTCATTATTAAAGCACTGTAAAATCGCATTGTTAGTGTAATAACGCCACATCTGCAAAGTGACAACTTTTCACGAACTATTACCTGTCGCTCACGACTTTTTTGTCGTTACTACGACAGACTGTCATGACAATATGAAGAGCTAGTAGTAACAACAGTACGTCACGATACAAATATGACGACAGATAATCGCAACTTGAAACGATTCTGTCGTGCAAACGACAAGGCGGCTACCGTGAACCGATAAATTGTCGTCACGATCTAGTGGGAACAGCTAGACACGACAGTCGTTTAACGATAAAAGAAACGTTCATGAGACAGTCACGACAGATACTCGTGATATGGGAACAAGCTAGACGCGACAGTCATCCAACGATAAATAAAACGTTACGACATTTTTAATTTTTTTTTTGTTATATGAAGTGTTGGGACGAACAAGTCGTTCGCCTGATGGTAAACGACACGCCTGTCCATAACAGTTGCAAGTTCCACTCAGAGCTTTTAATCGCAAAGATCTGAGGTGCACTGCCTCTGTGTCCATCACCCTGAGACATAAGTTGCCAAGTCCCATATGCCTGTATTTTCACCAGCACCCTTACCCTTCAAAGCCGAAACGCAGTAAAGCTCACGTTACTGCTTGGCGGCAGAAATAGGTAAGGTGGCAGTACTTAACTGGACGAACTCTTTCACAAGGAGCTCTACTGGTACTAAACGTAATGGAAACGCGCCCTTACACGTGATAAAAGCCGTTTTAACGTATGATCACAGTTGCCTTTATTATACCAAGGGTACGAAATATTTAAATTATACTCACTAGTTCCCTCTAATCGCTTTACACCCTGAGCCATTTTCAAATAGACTCTCACAAATAAAAAGAACAAAAACAGCAAGACGGCTGACGGTACCAAAGTGTAATACAGGGCAATGGCGTTCAGCACCAATATAGCTATCAAAGTACTGTAAATCTGCAGAACATCCAGCAATGTCCTGGGTAAAATTTCATCCAATGCTCCCATGTCTTTTGTAAACCTGTTCAGAATACGACCTGGAAATCAAATAGTTTTTAAAATAAACATGCAAAAAGCTAACAAACAATGCCATTTTCACTTAAAAAATAAATATAATGCAATATTTTTACACATAAAACTTTTCATTATAAAATAGCATTTCAATATAAGATAATTATGTACGTTGATAATTTAAAGGTAATGTTGTTTGTTTAAAAAAAGTAAATGTGGGTTTCACCACTTTTGCGCTAATAACCAAAAATTTATCAGTGGACTGAAGAAATTCAGTATATTTATTAAAAGTTGCAAATTCATACCTGATGAACTAGTGTCGAAGAACCTCATGATGCCCTTTATCATACTAGAGAACATGCGGTTGTGGAGGTTTGCGGAAGCGGAAACGCACAGACTCACAAACGGGAAGATTCGAACTTGGGTCAAAACGATGCATGTTATTATTATGCAGCCGTGGATGATGAGGTACTGGCCAGTCGTGAAAAGGCCCACTACCACGTCCAGTCCGGGGTCTAAAATAAAAATATTTTATTACGATTTAATATGAAATGTAACGCGACATCTCTAGTCATCCGCTGGCTTGTAGCTTTAAAGGTAAACTGGCTGAGTGAAGAAAAACTTTCATTGATTTCTCATAGATGGCGCTACAGCAAAAAAAGATCTGCATCAAGCACACAGAGAAATTCGTAAGGTCTGCTGGATCGTTCCACAACTCGGTTGGAAGAACGTCAGCCACGGTATGGCGAGGTCACTGATTTAAATCCAGCTGGATCGAAAGAATTTCTCTGTGTGTTCGATATTTGTGTTATTAATTACATCAAATGGTCGTCTTGAGATAGAACTCACGAAATCTGGATCCTGATTTTTCTGGTGACAGAAAATGAATATTTTATTTGTTTTATCTTGTTACGTCTTGATAAAAGACGACATTTATCATACGACAATCAAGAATTACACTTCATCAATATAGTAAAAGCAAACCAATAAAGATGATTGTGAATTCACCATTAGACATACAATAAGCGCAAAAGTTTTTAAATAACTTAATCTTAACGTATTTCAATGTTTTTTAATATTATTGATATGACAAATTGGTAGGTTTTATTATTCGATATTCATAATAGGTTTGATGAAAGAAGCACGTCAATTGATTTAAGTTTTTATCGTAATTTCTCTCGTACGGAATTGCTTATACTTTACGTGTTATTTATAAGAGACTATTAAACAAAAAGCGAAACGTATACACCTACGTTGAGGTATACTGAATCACAGAGATTATTATCGCAGAATTCTGTAAAGTTCAAAGGCGATGAAAGTGTTCTCCCTCTCAGCAATAGTTTTGTTAGAAATTATAGGCACTTAATGCCAAAAGCCGCAACCATCCGTTTACTACCATTACATTATTACGGATCGGGGAGAGTGTGAAATGTTCAATATTTTTTATTAGAGCCTGTATGACATCGATACTAGAGATGAAATGAAAACGAAATCGATATCGATAGGCATAGAAGGGATCTGTGGAAACAATTTGTAGATTTCAGATCACTAAATATGTTTTGACAAAATACGCGACATTTACTTGATTCTCATCTAATGACGTCATAACCTAGAGCACAATATAATCTAAGAAGCTAATGTTTCAATGCATTAATTTTCATCGTTGTCAATCTAAAAGCCCTTTCAAGTTAACACGCTTGAAGTGTTGTTTTTCACAAGTTACTATATGTATATATGCATCTATCGGTTAGCTAAATTGAAACTTCGAATCTAAGCATAGGGAGAAAATATGTGAAATGGATTTTTTTCCAAGAGTTCTTTTTTATGATACCAATTAATGGGACGAATAAGTCGTGTCTCGTCGTGGTCATAAGCAACACGCCTGTCCATAACAGTAGCAGTGCTACTCAGAGCTTTAAATCACAACGATCTTAGGGCCACTGCCACTGCGACCGTCACTCTGAGACAAAAGTTGATAAGTCCCATGTCCGGACAACAGCACATCAGACTACACATTTTTGTTCGAAAATCGCCTCCAGTGCAACGGAATAAGATACGTTAATGTGTAGCTATGTGCTGTTGACTTACCCTTCAACACCGAAACGCAGTAAAGCTCACGTTACTGCTTGGCGGCAGAAATATGTAAGGTGGCAGTATTTCCCAGAACGAACAATTTCACAATAAGCTCTACTGTTACTAAAAAGCGTTAGGTGTATTTGGAGTCACACATTTTTTTATAAACAAGAACCAAGCTGGGTCCAGTCCGTTACACGTTAATTTACATAAAGTACAATAACATTTTCAAACAAAATAATAAAACTAACTTATTTTTTTGTAAGTTAAATATGTTTGGAGCAAACCAATTCTTTGCTTTGCGAATGAAATAACACTTGTAACTGGATAAAATATCACCATCACGCCTTGTCTCTCGTACCGGTTGTTGTAAAAAGTGCGTGCGTTTTGTATATAAAGTGGTGGTACTGCGATAGGACTTTTTTCAATACCTATTATTTTTACATTGACTCTTGTACCGGGCCTTCACAATCCTCTAAAATTGGAATCAGATGTGTTTTTATCGGACAAAGGGTAGTCTTAATTGGAATAAATTATTATTAATATTAATCTAATTTAAAATGAATAATCACCAATTTCAGCTCCTTCCAGTCCCATTTCGTAAAGCGCCATTTGATTTGACCTTCAACGAAACAAATAATTATTTTGCACGATATAATTCAATCAACATAACAAAACTATATGTATACATTTTCAAATTCGGTTACTATTAAAGCAAATATTAGACATAACTGGTTGATACTAGGGTCGACTTCAAATGAGATACTTATAGAAGCGGTGCAGACGCGCCACTACTACTTTTCATACAATATTTAGAAGCGCAGCTATAGCGCCACAGACACCCCACGAGCGCGCTGCTTTTGCAGACTAGACATTGCAGCGCCACAGATACGCCACTACAGCGCTAAAAAGCGCCCGAATACCACCTCAATTACCTGTGGAACCTGTAAAGAGCTCGAAACGTTCTTTCAAAAAACAAAAATACGTGATCTAGATCCGAAAACTAGTTTCATTTTCAATGTGTTGTAAACGCGAAAGCCTAAGAATGCGACATAACACGGACATTTGTGTTGATTTACCCTGCAATTGTATCTTTACAAAATACATTTTTTATTATTTATATATCATATCAAATGATGGGATGAACAAGTCGTGCGCCTAATGGTAGCTACACGCCTGTCCGGTTGCAGTGCCAGTCGGCTTTAAATCGCAAAGACCTGAGGGGCACTGCCTCTACGCCCGTCACCTTGAGACATAAGTTGGCATTAGTGGCGGCAGAAATAAGTAAGATGGCAGTGCTTTCCTGGACGAACTCTTTCATGAGAAGCTCTACTGCTACTGCTACATCTACATAATATTTTTAAATTCTTGAAATACCGTTGTATTTAGAGATTTTGAAAGGTTTTTTTTTTTCATAACATATAAGTGTGCATTTGGCCTCAATCTCATTTGATAGTAAGTGGCGATTAGGTCGACGATGAAGCAAACACACCTAAATAATGTCTATTCACTCTCGCCTGAAAAGACCCAAGTTATTTCGTTCAGAGAATTAGTCATCAGGTAGGGACGCTTCGTGCAAATCCTTGGAATATCCACATATTAAATCGGGCAATTCCACCGCACACTCTTTGATAAAACATTAGCACTTTATCGATCGATGCATCTGATCAGTGGCATACCCTCGGCGACCCAACAGTTTATACTGTGGGCGCTGGATGAGAAGGTCCTGGGTTCGATTCCCGGTAGGATAAATTCCTTTCTAAATTTGTTGCGGCCTGGGTGTTCTGGGAAGTGCCCAAGAGTGAATTCCGTTGCTCTTGTATGCGTAGTACAGGTAATTTTGAGACATATTATATAGTATACTCTGGCATATTATTATTATTGCAATATGAAGTTTTGATATTTGTTCAGATTTCAATTCAAACGCGTCAACCCCAAAAATTGCTGCACTTGAACTTTCCAAAGAATATCCGGGTTTCAAACATTTTTTGTGTTTTTATTACGACCGCACTTTGGGGTTGGTTATGTCCTCAATGTGCCTACATGTTATGGCGGAGTACGCATCGAAATTGCACAATGAACAGGTTAAAAATACTTACCAATAGCTAATCCAATAATCAGCGCTGGCGGCAGCGCTAGCCGTCAAGAGAATCATAAATATGGTGAACATTATGAAACACCAATTTCCTCCAGAAGTGAAATAAGAAGAGACAACTTCCCATTTCAAGTTGCCTGATTGGCGTTCCTCGGCAGCCATCTTTTGTGCTTCAAATTCCTCCTCGTCTTCACCATCGCCGCTGCTTGACGTAGAAAGAATTCGCAGGTACGATTTCTTTTCTTTTCCACTCTGAATAAAACAATTACTTCATGAGCATTTTAATAAAGACATCGCCAACTGTACAGTGAACAGCACATTACTTTACACTTTGGGCTTTAGACCCTTTTGTCACAACTGCTATAGAGTTGAAAATGTTTCAATCTTTAGTGACAACCGTTGGTCATACGATGTATGAATATTGATTACAATATTGTGTGTCTCATTATTAAATGATACATACATAATCACACCCTTTTCCCATCGGGGTAGGTAGAGACAACAGCCTTCCACTTGCTACGATCCTGGTGCACATCTTTCGCGACATTAACACGCATCAGTTCTTTCATACATGCTCGTCTATTAAGGATATTCTTGACCTGGCCTTTCTTTACGTCGTGCATGTCCTCATTATGTATATTGTATATATATTTTACATCGAGGATGTAGTAAGTTCGCTTTGGTCGGCCCTTACTAACATGCCCGCTCATACTCGCCTTCCGTCCGTCAATCTTCTTCCATTTATTCTCTCTATTATAATAGCACGATAAATAAGTCACATTAGTAGGTATATTTATTTTTTGTTTCTATTCTTCTTTTTTTTTGTTTGTTTTCTTTTTAATTTGCAATTTCTCTACCTAGACTGTTACGGTTTTTTACGGGACATACAAATCGTGCGCCTGGTGATAAACGTCACGTCTCATAACAGTTGCAGTGCCACTCAGAGATTTAAATGGTAAAGATCTGAAGGGCATCGTCACCGCACCTGTCACCCCGAAACATAAACTTGACAAGTTCCAAGTGCCTGTAATTTCAGCAGCACCCTTACCCTTCAAAACCGGAACACAGTATTGCGCATATTACTTGGCGGCACAAATGGGTATGGTGAAGCCAAAGGTGATTTTTGTTACAGCCAAACATTTAGTTTTCGTGACACTTGTTTCTTAATAAATAAACAAATAAATAAATATTAATTAGACCCAATTGTAGATACTTACTTCAGATGAAAAAGTACTACCGGAATCTTCTTTACCCTCTTGAAGGGCTGCAAGCATCATGGCAAAATCCTTGCCGCTCGTAACGAGCTCGTCAAATGTGCCGACATTTTCTATTCCGCCCTGAAATCAGATAAAATACAAATGTTATCTAGGTTTTAGCAGTGTTAATATTTATATAATATTTCGTAAATACGTTTTTCAGGTTTTCACGTTATTTGAACAGTATTGACAGCATATGTTTTATTTCCATATCATAGGATATTATTGAAATAAATACGTTTAACAATTATTATTGATGTTTGCATAGTGCCGCGTAAAATTTTGTATACGTATTTGGTTAGGTAGTATTTTCTTTAATCTGTTTGTATTTTATTGTTTTCCTAATTTATTGTTTTCTAATGGAGCTGTCATGTTCAATAATGATCAAAACAACTAAATAAATAAAGAGTTAATAAAATTATTCATACCAATATCGAACAAACACAAAGAAAAATTCTTTCGATCCGATTGGACTCGAACCAGCGTCTGTTGCCCCAACGTGACAACGTCGATCTTTATTTGATACAAATATCGATGATCGATAATAATGAGAAAATAATAAAAACAATTTTCTTGTTTAAGGGCGACCCGAAACCTACCTGCCGCCAGTCACTCAGCTAAGTAGTCGATATCACAAATTCGTAATCAAAATTCGCACTCCTCATAGAAAAATGGCATAAGTGAAGTTACGTCAAAAATTGCTCCATTAGATCATTGACTTACAAATAAATGGACGATGGGTCTAATACAAAAACCACGAAAAAAATGTCCCAAGTCAACCTATTCGAAATTTAAATTGTAATGTCATCGCAGTATCGCGCTGTCAGTCGAACAAATGAAGACTAAAGCGGAGTTTGGCGCTCTGTACACGATTTTAGCTTTTAGATTTTAGCGCCTTACAAGTGCGGACACTTTTTAGCGCGGACCCGACGTCCATATAATTGTAAGTCAATGCATTAGATACAAAAAAATATAACTCACATCCTCTCGAATTCCTGTAACTGTACTGTCGACTAATATTGTCGCAATAAACAATATTGACGTAACTTCTCTTATGCCATTCTTCCAAAACTAGCGAAGTATTTTATATATAAATATTAGACTTAATATAGCGACATCTCTGTCAGTCTTCTGGTAACTTTAATGGTACCTGGCTGACTGAAGAAACTTTCATAAATCGTCAAAAATTGCTCCATTAGATTTCATAGATGGCGCTATAATAAAAAAGGCGTTTTAAACCAAATACAAAGATCCGCAATAAGCACATAGAGAAAATCGTTATATCTGCTGGTGTGATAAGAGCGGAAGCCACGTCTTCGAGTCGAGTCCGATCGATGGAATTTTTATTTGTTTGATTGATCTCTGTATGAATGTGTAATAAAAAAGTAACATAGTATTTTCTTTGAAGAATATCGTGGCTGTAAAAACATAATCATAATATTCAATAAAAATATTGTTGTAATTATTGGAAGCAAACCTCATTCATGACTATAATGTAGTCGGCAGCTTTTAGGAAATGTATTTGATGCGTTACGAGCACTCTAGTGTAGTTTCGCAGGTACCCGTTGATGCAGCCCTCGAACAGCTCACGACCCACCTTCGCGTCCACCGCTGACAAGGGGTCGTCCAGTAGGTATATGTCGCTCTAAATAATTATGTAAATATATATATTGTAAAGAGAAGCAGCGCTTTGCTTTGGGTTCCTAAAACACTTTACGTATAATTAAGTTAGGTAAGTGATCGAAAATATCATCATCAACCTATTTATACGACCCACTATTGGGCATGGGACTCCTCTCAGGCAAGTTAAACGCACAGTCCGCAACGCTGGCTCAATGCGGATTGGGGATTTTAGACGTTTTCTAAAAGTTGTGAACCTTCTTCGACGTGCAAGTTTCATCACGATGTTGTCCTTCGCGGAAAAGGTCATAGTAAATTTCAAATTAAATTTCGCACATAAATTCCGAGAAAATCAGAGGTCTGAGCACGGATTCGAACTTACAGCCTCTGCTTCAAAGGCGGTAGGTCACCATTAGGCTACAAATCATCATCATCGTCAACAGCCTATCGTAGTCCACTGCTGGACATAGACCTCTCCCAATTCGCGCCATTTCGCCCGGTCCTCAGCTCGTTGTATCCATCTGCTGCCAGCAGCCCTTCGCAAATCGTCACTCCATCTGACCATAGGGCGTCCTACACTACGTTCGCCGAGCCGTGGTCTCCACTCAAGAACTCGCTTCCCCATTGGTAATCCGTTCTCCGACAGATATGGCCAGCCCGCTGCCACTTCAGCTTTAGCTTTAAATATTTCCATCAATCTAATAATGATATTATAATACGATCTAGGTGGCCCAGTGATATGCACTATAAGCGCGGGATCCCAGATTCAATTCGTCGTAAGATCAATTTGGGAAGTGAACTTTTCTAAAGTGATTCTGGTATAGATGTTCTGATTCTGTCTCTTTGGGTCAGTCTGGCTAAGACCAGGTAATTGGTGTGGTTGTCTGGCACATTATTATTTTATCTATTTCAAATTGGACGTAGTTAAATAAAAAGAATCCAATGCACATCCAGTCACTTTCGAGATACGGCAGTTTGAAGTTTAAAAATGTTTCTCATTCTCGTTTTATTTTCAAAATTCATGTAATTCCAGAGATATTTATTTATGTATGTATGTTGGATTTATTTTGCTGATCTAAGAGGTTAATAGACTTTAGGAAGCGTTTGGTACATACATAACCAATTTTTCGATAATTTCGTGGATTGGATCTTTTTTGCTTAGTTAAGCAATCTTCCAATCATTAATAGAATTTAAAAAAAAAAACAAGAATATTGTAACAGGCGTTAAAAGCAATCTACTGGAATGAAAGTGTTTTTCCTTCATTTTATCATATGAGTCCACTGTTTAGATGACAAATAAGAAATCGATTACCTACCTCTCTGTAGACGGCCCGAGCCAAATTGATTCTGGCCCGCTGGCCCCCTGAAAGAGACGCCCCCCTTTCGCCCACTAAGGTCTGATCGCCGTAGGGGAATTGCTTAAAATCCTTTTCAAGAGAGCACGCTTTACACACCTGGCAAATTAAAGCTGTTTTAATACACACTTCCAAACTTTACCTTTCGAAATTGTATTGTAGAAAAGCATGGGCCGACGAATAGCAAAACAAAAGAGAGTTCAAATGTATTGTTTGATACAGTGCCTTTGTTAATAATGTTGAAATACGTATGAAATTAAACAAATATATGCTACCTGTAGTACCTATTCAATAATAATATCAATAAGTAATGTAAATAGGGAAATGAAATATCCCCTTCCGAAAAGTAAGTAATTATATTACAAGTATTGTAACAAGTGTGTCTTTAGCTTTAACCCCGTGCATTTTCGACATAGTAACGACGCGAGGGTGAGTGCCGCCGACTGCTAGAGTGTCGCCCGACTGTGCACTTTGTGCCCTCTTCTGACTTTTTTTATAAACTAAATTACAGTCGTTTGTTGAGTAGATTACGTTTTAAACTTTCTTATGCTTCTAATATAGATCTAAATTTATGTAAATCATGCTCATATGTTCTATTAAAAATGTTTTTATCTTACATCAAATATTATGGACCAACTTAAAAATGTATATTGTATATATTGTATACATGTATACTCCTACGATCTTATATACGCAAAAACAGGATATACTTTAGAGGAACGCTAAAAAAGGTTGAATTATGAAATAAGTTCACATGAACCAAAGACGACATGATATGTAGAACTCATTGACTTACAATTATATGGACGTCGGGTCCGCGCTAAAAAGTGTCCGCACTTGTAAGGCGCTAAAATCGTATACAGAGCGCGACACTCCGCTTTAGTCTTCATTTGTTCTACGGACAGCGCGATACTGCGATGACATAACAATTTAAATTTCGAATAGGTTGACTTGGGACATTTTTTTCGTGGTTTTTGTATTAGACCCGTCGTCCATTTATTTGTAAGTCAATGGTAGAACTAGAACGTTTAATCGAAATCAAAAGACTACTGATGTCATTCTTTTTTCAAATTAAACATTCTCTTATATATGGCTAGTGCGTCTTATGAACATTGTAATTATAATTCGTACCCTGGGTATAATAACACCATAAAAATAATCCGATCCACATGAAACTACTTATGTATATTTGAAATTTTATTATTCTTCTATTTAATCACAGAGACTTATTGACTGATATTTCGTAGAATTTATAGTCTCTCCACACTCGTGCGCGAACTACCCGTGAAGCATGAGTGTGGATCCGATTCGCATATTCTTCGCGGCTTCGTGACGCGTTCGCGGCTCGTTCCCGATAGTTGTCGGTATTTTGTCAAGCGCGAACTTGGCGACAAGACTCCACATTCGCGTGTGGCTCAGTTGCCAATAAGTAAGGACCGCAGACAGTTGTGTTTATATTTTTATTGTTGACGTGCTTAAAATGTCCGTGAATTAGACAAATGAACTAGAACTGACATTTTAAGACTGATATTTTTTTCTTTATAAAAGCATAATTGTAAATAGCCCAAGCGCAAAGTAGTCCCACAGCAGCAATAGCAACTTCGGTGTCCATCTTCGTCAAGCGCTCGAACTATATTGTGAACCAGGCGCGAACCTCTGCGAGTGTGGAACTTTGGCAGTTCTTGCCACGATCCGTACCGCGATTCGCGGCGAGATTTCGCGCGCCAGTGTGGAGAGGCCTTATAATATAGAGGCCTCTTTATTGAAAAGTTGTCAATTTGCAGCTGTGGCAGAAACCCTTTTTGAAAATATCATTCAATTTAACTCAACTGACACCGCAGTAGCCAAAAGCCGTAAAAATATTCGGCAACTACGTAATATCCATTTGCCATTTTTTTTAATAAAATAATCGAACGCTTGGTCACAATCTCACTTGATCGAGAGAATGGCTTAATAAAATGGCGGATTTTTGTAATTATAGTTTTTACATTAACTAGTTTTAAGTATATTATGTTTGGAGTTTCTTAATTAATTGTTATAAGCTGATGGGTCTATAGCTAATACTCAATAGATAAATAATAAAAATTAAGCGAGAATGTTCGTTCGATATTTGAAACAAAATATTTTTTTTATCTGCCCGGAAATGTTACGCGTGTTTCTGTGTTTCTAATAAATGTAAAATTGTTTCACCTCTGATTCACTATGTCAAAACAATGACTTAGAATCTCTAACTTTCTGCTTGAAAAGTTGTAATTTTGCAGATGTGGCTTTATTATACTAAGGGTGCGAACTCAACCGTTTTTAGTGTTCTTTCAAATATTTCAATATCATCCTTTTATTGGCTAACCATCAAACTCGCTTTAACACTTTACATTTTGAATTGTAGCTCCAATCAAACTGGTTCTATCGATTTATTATATTCATGTAGGATTCCACTAAAATACGATTACCAGCGGAAGATGTTTGCATTTGAAAAATGAGTAAGTACGTCGTTTTTTTATATAAAATTACTGGTGTATGCGCGCAGCTTAAGCCTGAGGCATGAAGATACCAAGTCCCATGTGCCTGTCGTTTCACCAGTACCCTTCAAAACCAGTGTTCACATTATTGCTTGGCGACAAAAATACGTAAGATGGCAGTCCTTCCCTGGACGACGTCTTACTCTTACTTAGATACGACAAAAGTATCACATTTATCGACCCCTCCTACGTAAAGTATCGTATGTCGAAATGCCAAGAATTCACTCGAAACAAACACAACACGTGACTTTAGGATTTCTCAGTTTTATTCGGCAAAGCTCATTACTCACACAGAGTATTATAAAATCCTAGATATCGGTTAGATGATTTACTAGATAATCACTCTATGTGAGTATCGTTACTCATCTTTTCTTCGTCGTAGCTTTGCTGAATAAAACTAAGAAATTCTAAAGTCACGTGTCATGCTCATTTCACTGAATTCAAAACTTTAACTCCCCTGTAAACTTGGCAATTTCGACATACGATACTTTACTAAGAGAGGTCGTTATAATGATAGAGGGACAATATCAATAACGAATACATTGTATAAGAGTAAAACAACACAGTCGATATTAATACGTGTTTACACGGCAGACGTTCAGAACATACCGACTTGTATTTTTCCGAGTTATAAGGCAATCCGAAGACGATGTTTTCTCGAACTGTACTGGGGAAAAGCCAGGCTTCTTGGCAAGCGTATGACACCGTGCCGTAAATTGAAACCGTGCCAGAAGAGGCCGGCAATTCTTTCAGCAGCAATTGTAGCACAGAAGACTATAAAATAAACAATACCAGTGCTATTAAGTCTCGAATAGATATATAAAATTTTTATTTTACTTTAATAGATCACGTTTGCTCTACCTGACACGAGCTAGAGCGTTTCGCTGTTACACTTTATTTTTCAATTTATTTCAGTCTTTAAAATAAATAATAACCGAGAGATTTTCAGTTATTGTAAAACATTTTCATACAAAAGTTAAATGAAATCTGGTGGTTGTAAAAATCGTCGTTATAATTGACTAACATTAATGTTTTATCATGTACTAACCTTTCCCGCGCCAACAGGTCCAATGATGGCACAAAGCTTTCCCTTGCGTAAGCGCATGGAAACGTTTTTAAGCGCCAACATGTTAGGGTCACCTGTCCAACTAGCGCATACATCGCGTAACTCCACTGCAATGTCGTTACTGGACATTGACATACTGCGCCTGTATCTTTTGCTATTGTGTCTTTGATGCAGACCTAAAGAAGACCGGATTATAAAATATATAAAATTGAAGGCAAAGCAGATGACAGACTATAAGTTCTAAGGTTGAGATTTATAAAACGAACTTAGACGCTTATGCAATAATAGCGAGTTAAGCAAGTTTTTCGTATTTACAAAACGAACTTTGTCTAAATTTAGGCAAGAAATAAATTAAACTTTGAATTTACTTCGTAATTTCTTGCTTAGACTTAGGCAAAGTTCGTTTTGTAAATACGAAAAGAACAATGCCCATTCTGGAATCGCAAATTTTTATATCGCGACCGGTTGTAAATTTATATCTACATGTTATAAAATAATTTAAGGTTCGTTCATAAAACTTTGAAATAAGTTGGAGAAAAAAAGATATGAAATGTTAAAAATACGTAAAAAACATGGAAGGCATTGTAAATATTTGTTTTTGAACGTAACACAACTTACGTTTTTAACATTTTATTTTAGGCTCCATTTACACTTGCCGAGATTTCATCAACGTTGAGATATTTATGAACGAAAGTTACAATAAATGTGCCACTGACAAGTCTTCCTTAACTTGAACTTGACTCTCAACTACAAAGTTATCAGAAAATTCAAGAAGAAATTGTCTCGACACGACACGTCGGAGAAATCATATTAAGTGTAAACGAGACTTCAAATTATATGTCAAAATCTATGTTGTGCTACGTTCAAAAATAAATGCTAACAACGCAATCAACTTTCTAAAAGTATTTTTTTTAAATCGTATCTTTTTGCACCTTGTTTACCTTATTCATGTAATTTATAATTAAAAATAGTACTTACAGATTTCAATATTATATTACATTATTTTATAATATTTAACTTTGTACAATAAAGAAATTAATGTTTAACTTATAAGTGTTTAACTATAATATTATAACCTGAAAAATAAAATGTTGCTTAAAACAACTTTACCTAGTACAATAATATAAATCCAGTATAATTAGAAACCATATGAAAATACAAATTGAACCCTGTATCTACGAATGATGGTCGTCATTTTGGGCATTGTTCTTTGCTTGACTCGCCATTTTTTCTTAGTCAAAGTCTAACTTCGTTTTACAAATCTCAGTCGAATAAGAATATCAATCAATATTGGCATACTTCGTATGTCAACCTGCCACAGTGTCAGCACAAGTAGGTACATATGAGAAATTACATACTCTATCTATGGATCAGCTAGATATAATCAGTACTGGAAACATACCATTTGTGCTACCAAATTCAGTTTTTGGTTTATAAGAAATTGCTTCGATGGAAGTATTATTGTCGTTGTCAACCTTCTTCACGCCTTCGAAAACCACAGATGATGACGAATTTACCGACCACTGTCGTTTATTAATTAAATCCGGACGATCCTCTGTGTAAAAAAAAACATTAGTCATATATCGTATATCGGGGATCCGCGTATGTAGCATTGGTAAAAGGCGCGTATCTGCACAAAACAATTTTTTACAAGAGAGGTGTTTAACGTTATTACTTTTTTATTTCAATGGTTACAACTTTCATTTTTGCACAGTAAGCATTTATTTATGTTGTCTACGGACTGATAACAATAGATTCCCGTAAATATATACGACATATACGAGTTTTTGATTTGGACACTAAATTAGGTACCGAAATGGAACTCATAATCAAATGCTAAGTTACGCGTAATTGCTCAAACCCCGATGATACACTGAATTTAAAAAAATATAAATAAATAAAATAAACTTTTTACATTTAGCGCTCAAAGAAACATTCACAAAATTTATAGTTGTTGCCGCCTAATGGAAATACTCGGAGATATACTTAGTATTGCTAATGCTTTTTCATCAGTGGAATATAAAATTTTAAAAACAAAGTGCCTGGAATTTCTCTCCCTGTCACTCAATAACCTAACACTGTTATTTTAGAGTAGGATGATTCAGTGTTAGTGATGAAAAATTGTACCTTAAGTAAAAATGTACTAAAGTTGATGGTTTATTTATGGTTATAGCTATTAAAAAAAGATATATTACTGAATAATAAAAATGTCTAGATGATCATCAGGAATCAGCAACCTGACAAAATTTATTATTATTTGCCTATCATCATCATCATCAACCCATTTATACGTCCTACTGCTGGACTCATGGTAAATTTTAAATTAAATTTTGCACATAAATTACGAAAAACTCTAAAAAGCGAGCCCGTATTCGAACCCACGACCTAGTCTGCTTCAGAGGGGGTAGTTCAAGCCAGTATTCTACCACAGCTTTTTGCCCATTATTTTATCCTATCCTATAAAATCCTGAAAACGGCTAATATAAAAGTCTAAAACGAGTCATTTAAGTATAAAATATCTAACGTTATACATAATTTTTATATGGAAACTTTATTTTTGAGTACTAAAGAGAACCTGCTAAATTTTGGTTTTCAACTGAAGCCCTGTTAGTTATTTAATTCATATTTGTCTTTGTAAATTGCCCAGTGGTTTAACGACACGCGCTGCCCGTCGCCCCGTCAGTTGCCATCGGGCACGTGTCGACGTCGAATCTGTGTAAAATTTTCTCCGCTTGTCATTATTTTATTCATATTCCTCAACTCATAAAATCTAGGCTCGCATTGAAATACCTCGTTCTTAATTTTAGTGGACAAATTTTCGCAATTATTAATATAGGTACAATTAAATAGTAAGTGTATGCTACCAGTAACTAACTAACTGTATCTTAAATAGCATCTGTAAGTAACTGATTATGTTAGGTATGTAGATCGATTTACTTATACCGTTTATTTTTTACGTTGGAAGTTAATAAGTTGCAAAAATTTTGTAAGCAACACTACTCCAGCACCGCCTGGCGCCAGTGCAGTCTGATAACCGGTCTGTACAAAAGCTTACTTGGCACGAGTACAGTTGCTTCGTTGGCAATCAACTCATTCCCATAGCGTGCATAGTCCGTGGGCGTTGACATTGTTTTATAAGATACAAGTTTTGTACCTATTTCATTATAGTTGTTTTTTTTAAAGACAAAGACATGGAATACTGGACTAGGTTTTTTTTTAGCAAATTTTAAAGATTTATTAATACAAAGATCGAAAATTTCCTTCGATCCGGCTGGATTCGAAACTCCCAACTGAACTACGGAACAAACCAGATAAGCAGACTTTACGAATTTTTCTAAGTGCTTGTTGCAGATCTTAGTTTTGGTTTTTAACGACCTTTTTACTTTAAGGTAGCTAGTTCATTCCGTAGCTCAGTTGAGAGAGCGTGGCTACGATATGCTGAAAACGTTAGTTCGAACCCTGACGAACATCAAAATAATTGAATATCATAGTAGTAAAACATTGTGGTATTTAATAAATTTCATTATTAAACATATTTTAAAATTAAAAATCGGTTCAGTAGGCTTATGAAATAATTAAGGGCTTTTTCTATGTTCTACTTTGTCCACAGATCCGCCTCGAGTTAAGTAGTCCGAAGAAAAATCATTCTAGACAAATGTTTGGGCAAATTACGGCCCGTCACCGTCCCTTCTAAGGTAGCAGTGTATGCAGTGTAACGTCCTCGGAAATACATTTTGACAGTCTCGTTGAAATCGACACAGAAAGTAACATTACACACGGTCAATAACTTAACACTATACAATAATATTAAAAATATTTAAAAGAAAATACATTTTAATCAATTTCTTGTTTTTCTGGCCCCTAATGAAAAAGTTTGTCCACCCCTGTTCTAGACAGAACACGTAACAGAATTTAGTAACAGGTTTATTTTATAGGTAAATACACACCTAAGCATAGGAATTCCTGGACTCTTCTGAGAGACACGATGAGTTCGGAAGTGAAGGCAAGGACGAGAGGTAGAATCAAAGTGACATTGAGTTGAGCAGACGTCATGAACTGCTGCAGCGGGTATATCTGAAAACGAGATGTTTGTCTATTGTATACACAGCAATTACAAGGACCCCAACTTTGCGAAAATCGATGTTAATCAAAATGGAAGTTTTTTTTAATATATCAAGCGACGGCGCGAATAATCATGCGCCTAATACACGCTTCAGCATGTCTCGATGAATGGTTCTTTACGTACAAGTAGAATAAATAAATATAATATATCAAATATGACGCTACTGAAACATTCTACTGCCTCCTGATTGGTTGAAATATAAACGGTACATGACCAATCACAGACACTTCTATTCTATCTCTTTGGTTTTTTGTTTCGTAGCGTTTGTTTGGATTTCATTTGAGTTTGTCGTCGTGGATTGTTAACTAAATATTGGTTTACTTACTTTACGTTTACGTTGGTACTTTTATATGCAATCCTTACATAATTAGGTCTTAATATCGCTTATCTATTACTTATGCCACTCGGCAAAGCCTTTTTACACGGCTTGAAGAACCCTATTATGCAACGAATGCATAAAATACTATTATTGATTTTATGCGGAGGGAAAGTGGGAAATTAACTGCATAAAAAAATTCAAGCGCAGTCATTTTGCACGATATTAACTTTAAAGCGTGAAACACACTAAGAGCGGGGAGCGTGTCTGGCGCGAGTAGGGTTGGGATCGCGGCGGATCTAATTCCGTCTATTTATATGGACGACAACACATCGAGCGCGGCCGCGGGACGAGCGGGACGGGCGCACGCTTTACTGTGTTCGCGGAGTAACAATATAATTTACTTCCATTTTGATTAACATATTATGTCAACCTAATAGACTGTTGATACTTTGACGACTTTGATATTCCAGCCGTTGGCACTGTGGGCTCTAGATGATAAGATCCCAAGTACGATTTTCCAATTTGGTTCTGGTTTGATATTCTTGGTAGTGCTCTGGAATTTGTAAGGTTGTTTGGCAGATTATTGCACTACTACTCTGGGTAAATGTAAAACAGTACTAGCACGATCTATCCATACGACAATTATACTACACTGCTATATTACAAGAAATGCCATTGACGTCTTATCAGGTGAGGACACCGCCTTATAGCAATGACGTAATAAAGTACAATTTTTTTTTGTAAATAATACGGTAAATATCATTTTTACTTACGACATTGGCACTCATTACGTTTCCAGCCAACACGAACACAAGAATGGTAATAAAAAGCGCAGTTCTTTCAGTGAATATCATGAAACCAAGGAACAGTGTTCTAATCAATGTTGATAATCTCACTTGCTTCAATTCTTCCATACGCTTTTCACCCACTACTTTCTGGAATGGGATCTCCCATGCGTACATTTTGATTACCTGCAAATAAAGTCGTAAAATAAGTGAGATAAGGGTCATAGTTAATTGAATGAACATTCTAGCTACGCAATGAAAAGTGACAAACTGAGTGAGTGCGCAACAATTAGTGAATGGATATTAGGATGTGTTTATATCTAAACTTCATTTATTCCCATGTATTGCTGTTGAAACATAGAAGCGGCTTCTCAAAACATATTTTTTCTTCTTTTAAATTTTAAATATATTAGCTCACTATACATCTTAAAGGTACCATACCATACCATACGTATGAACCAGTAAAATGACAACTGGATCTCAGTACTACGAAAAGCTGGATGTCTCAAATATAAACGTAAATGATGGTACGTTGGTTTCGGTGCAAAATTATTGAAACTACCAAAATACCATTCTTGATATCTGCAGTTTCTACATTTTTCACTTTCACATCGATGGCTTTCTAGAATAGTGGCATATCTCAAAATCACCTAAATCATTAGCATTGGTTTAAAAACAACTGCAGAATATCTAAAATGCAAAGCGAATTGTATACATGCTCATGTTGTCTCGTGAATATTTTAAATTATAAAACAAAAGTTCGGTGACTTTTTCACAGTAATACTTGGTTCATTCTGAGTTCATCTGTGTAATAAGACTAATAAGACAGAAATTGAATTTTGGTTTAGGGGACTATTCTTGATAATCTCAGTACAGAGTACTAAAAAAACCGACTTAAAAGTTCGCGGCGTCACATCCATTTGCCAAGTTTTATTGAAATCGGTTACCGGAAAGTGCACAAAACCGGATTCATCCCCTAGTTTGCCATCCTTAGAGGTGTAATATTTTCTTCAAATTGAAATGGAAACAATGCTAAAGTACCCCCTTTTCAAGAAAAAAGGAGTCGTCAAAATCGGTTCACAAACGCCGAAGTTATTGCGTAACATAACTACAAAAAAAACATGAAGTCTAATTGAGAACCTCCTCCTTCTTTTTTAATTATCGCAAAACATACATAAAAAAAAACAGTCGAAAGGAGGTTCTCACTTTTCCTTTTTTAGCGCGCAGCAATATCATAAAAGTAAAAAAAAAATACAAATAACATGTTTACTTTCCTTCAGTTTTTCAATCTCGTCAATCTCTATATCGCAGCAACTTTTTTGTTGTAAAAAAGAGTGTATGAAAACAGTATTTAAGAACTTTACCAGTGGAAGATTGCATGATAGCAATTAATATGTACGAGAAAAATTATAGATATAAGAAAATTAATATGTTCGATCACACAAAAAATATGAATATCATAGCAGTAAGAACATCATGAAATTCAATACAAATTAAGTAGTATTTTTTTATTACTATAAATTATATTTAACATTTTAACTATTATATCATAAATATTACGTAATATAGGTGTAAATAGGTTTACTGTTGTATTTGCAAATATGCAGTAAATGTATAACTGACAACTGACAATGACAATTATCTCAAGAAGAGCAAAGAGCACTGTTGATTACACAATGTTGACACAAATGTATTATAATTTGCATAATTTAGGACAGTTGACAACAGCAACTATAATATCATTGGTTGACAATAATCGAAGAACAACGAAATTAAATGCTGTTTTAAGCATGAAAAACATAACAAATCAAGAGTTATAAAGAAAGAACAATGCTTATGTTTAACGCCAACCGCAATGGTATCACATAAGTTACGTACTTAATCATCGTTTCGCTAAAAAAAGGACGAAGAATCACCCAAACATTTTGGTACTAGTTGACATATCAAAAAACTAATGTGAGTTAATGGAAGGAATAAAAAGTTTATGTCAAATATATTACTTAAATGAACTTTCACAATCATGTAGAGTGAAGCGTATGTACTCGCTCTACTGCTACTAAAACTGGTTAAAGTAATAAATGAAATTATTCATTCCGCTTCAAACATTGCGTTCCCCATAAGCACCCAATGGATTGGTGGATAACATGTTATGCATAATGGTGCCAGATAATACGTATTAAAATAATTCTTTTAATACGTTATATTCTGACATACTTATCGATTAAATGGAGTGATATCCAGAGATAACAAACGTGGGCCGCAAATTTATTATCTATTATGAATCTGCAAATCCCAGCAAGCACAAAATCACAACGAGTGTCACATAGACTCATTTTGGAGGTTGATGTTGCTCGCTCGACCTTTGGGTGGTGCTAAAGAGCAACAACTACCGGTGATAGGTTTCGGCTGTGGCTGGTAACCCGACGCAGTCAAGTCGTTGAATGGTTTATCCGTATTCCGGCTCGTGTTCGGGAGTTGCCATTAGGGGGTCGGGTCTGAACAGTTGCATTGCGCCCAACGACGAGTAGTAGCTGCTTGTACTGCCACACTGAGAACTTGGTTCTGGAGGCTAGCGCGATCCGAAGCACGGTGCACCGCTGGCCGACTGTGGGAAGTTGGGGGCCCAAGTAGCGGGAAAGCCACCCGTGAAAAGCTGCCCCGCCACCCAACGAAAAATCCCGAAATGCTCCACTTTGCCGGTTGGCGACCGGAGGGGAGGACCAGGTGGATTTCCGGGGGTGTTTGGGCGTCCTCGCGGTCTCCAAACCGATTGTACACTCGTGTGGCAGTGTAAGCTTGCTGCTTGGTTGGACACGACGCAATGCCTCGTTCAACTACCTTCCTCCTGCCTATTTGCTTCTCCAGTTTATCATGAAACACAAGAAAAGGATAAAATTTACACAGCGGTTCCACGTCCTCCCACTAAAAGTGCACCTCACCAACATCCAAGGTCTGCATTCAAATCTCGATTCGGTCCACCAACATCTTGAAACCGATAAACTGCAGCTGCTGTTCCTCACCGAGACGTAGATCAGATGTCCGACTGACACAGCGTACCTCAGCTACCCAGGATATACTCTGGAGCACAGATTACTACCTCATGCCAGAGTCTGTGTGTACGTTCGTGATGACATCTGTGTTAAGCGTCTCAAGAACCTTGAGGCACCGAGTTTTTCAGTTTTGTGGCTTCTGGTTGACACAAGTGTTACCCAAATTGTATACTGCTGTGTCTACCGCTCGCACAGTGGAGATCAGGAGACAACCAAGCTGTTCCAACATCTGAGCGAGACGTCTGCTGAGGCTCAGCTCAGGTATCCAGCGGCGCAACTAGTCATTCTGGGGGACTTTAATGCACACCATCAAGAATGGTTGCTCCCATACCAGATGACCGATCATGCTGAGAGAGAGAGAGACGCGAAAACTTGGTTTATCGCTAAGCCTTTCCCAGCTTGTCAGTGACGCCACAAGGATCCCAGATGTTAAGTCTCATACGGCTAATTGCTTGGACCTACTGTTAACAACTGATCGAGACCGATACTCGGTATACGGCTTGTCCATAGCATCGATAGTGTTTACCAAAATCACGAAAGAAGTTGTAACACATTTGCGACAACAAAGATTTAAGTCCGTGGTATATTTAGATGATATTTATTGTATAGCAGCTGATTATGACGATGCATCAATAATGTTAATGCAACCATTAACTTATTGCAATGTTTAGGTTTCATCGTTAATTATGGCAAGTCTGTGTTACCACCATGTCAAGTTTGTAAATTTCTAAGATTCAATTTTCTCATAACATTTACCATTTACTTTAAAAAATAATGAGGTTACCCCGATGTACATACGGGAGTACGCTCAATTGATTAAATGATGATGATGAAATGATTATTGAAAAATATGCCTAACGTCGTAACCGTCGAAATACAATAGATGATCAAACGAACTTCTTGAAGTGAAGTTCGATCACTATTATGTGAGTCGCTTCATTCGAAGATATAATCAACACCCTCCCACCCTTGACATCGTCATATCAGAAGTAAAGATTCTGAAACTCCCAAATAATCTTTGCTTCCGACTCTGAAAGGAATGCGGATAGAAAATAACCGTTGATACCTAGTAGGGAGTGTCAACGTCAAAAAAAATTTTTTTTTTCTCTAAAACCGTGCAATGTTGCCTAGCAAGTTAAGGAAAGTACCTGGTTAAATATTATATTTTCGAATGAAGCGACTCACATAATAGTGATCGAATTTTACTTCAAGAAGTTTGTTTGATCATCTATAATTTAACATAATTATTTACACGTATGGATTACGACGTATGACGCAACGCAGGTGTCTGGTAACCGGCCTTGAAATCGTCGGTACGGCTTAAATGGATCTTTCATGAACTCCTTGTGAGTATATTGTTCTGTGTTCATGAAGGTCGACAGATGTTCAGTTGGTAACTCACTACGAACGTAGCAGTGCGGCTTGTATGTGTGCACGCCCACCGCGCGCCGTGCACGGACTCATAAATTTGCATAATAATGAAAGGCCTTGGGACAACCAGCGCTATGCGACACGAGTGCATCGCGAGATTATGCAAATGTGTCCGTCTGTACACAGCACGCGGCAGGTGCGCACACACACAAGTCGCACTGCAACGTTTGTATGGAGTTGCCATACTTGTCTTATTATACTATAGTAGCAGCAACACCAGCGTAATCACGTTGAAGGCTCGACGTGCACGCATACACGTGATGTCTCCGCCGCACGCCGGGGCGATAAAACTTATAATACTTAGAACTATTGCATATCGTCCTTCTCCGGACTAAACGTCGTATTTACGACGCTAACGACGTTAGGCATATTTTTCAGTTATTTTCACAATTATTTATTTTCACTCGTGTAAACAACTTTCTATCAAAGAGCTACATTCATATAAACAACAAAAATGTAAATAAACGACTAGTAGTAGTAAATTATTCTCACCTGGATGCCGTTAATTACTTCACTCATCACTTTGATTCTTTCGTCAGTTTTTTCGGCTACACGGAATCTTACTTTCCCCGTCAATCGTCCGAGGAATGCTGAAAATGTTCACTAAAATTATTAAAACCAGTGTAAAGTCTTAAAGAACATTGTAATATGCCTATACTAAAAATTGCGTCTTAGAAGTTTTTTAACACGGGCACATGTCATGCATTATAACCGTTCAGTTTCAATTACTTACAACAAAATGTAGAAGATTTTTTAAATTTTTTTATTACATGCTCATATTAATATACAGTCTCAAACCGATGAATTATCTGTAATATGACGAAATAAATCCGAGTCACTGCCTGGTCTGTTCACATTTAGAATATTGTTCGTTTTGAAAATTGGTCGTACCGGAAATCGGATCTTCTTATGCCATCGAGGTCGTCGAATTATTGGATAGACTTTTTTTTATGTTACCAAGCGACGGGTCGAACAAGTCGTGCGCCTGGAGGTAAGCGACACGCCTGTCCATAGTAGTTGCAGTACCACTCAGAGCATTAAATCGCAAAGGCTTGAAAGGCACTGCCACTGTGCCCATCACCCTGAGATAAGTTGACAAAGTTATTTCATTTGAAGTGAAACAATTCGTCGTCAATCGTTTCGAATTCGTGTTGGCCACCGATGAAATCGGTGCGCAGTTGTCACCGTATTGATATGGCAGAATAGTTTTCAAACAAATTAAATGACATTTCATTTCTATTTCTGGTTATATACTCGATGTGCTCACATTGTCGTTTGACGGTAGAAATACTTCCCTGGACGAGCTCTTTCAAAAGGAGCTCTACTACTTTACTACGTTTTATTGTGTTCTTTGTGCGATACTCGCAATCAGAAATTGATTGTAAACGGGGAGGCAAAAAGATAACTTTTTCGTCTAACTAGTCTCTGACCTACGTTTGTTTATCATCATTACGTCTAATTTCATCTATGCCGAAAATAAAATTAACACTCACCTTGAAACGGTAAAGCGATTAAACAAAGAGCCGCCATGCCTATCAGAGCAGAATACCCAGCCTCCCTATACCCCAAATACAACACGGCGCCAAGTTGTAACGGTATGATCCAGATGTAATGCATAAACAAAAACGCCATGTCGAACCTTTGAAGATCATTTGACAAAATGTTCACCACTTTACCGGCAGTAGTTTCGCCTAGGGATCCATTGTTCATACGCATTATCTGAAATGTGGAAGTTATTAAGTGTCATGATTCACGAAGTGAAAATTTGTCACATTGTGCCCTTCGGCGCCTTCAAATTATATAGTTCGTATTATTTTTAAGAAGTTCATGTGATAAAAGCACTTTTGATATACAATCACATGTAACAGAGCGTTTGCGCACTCCGTCCGAATCGTATCTGGGGGCCTACTCTCGATCTCCGTCCGACATCCGTCCGAAACAATTACTGCCAAATAAGCAATACTTGACCAAATGAAAAGACGCGTGATGCGAATGAAGCTTCATACTTCATACATCACTTATCTTTTAATATTGTCGAATATTACTTATTTGACAGTAATTGTTTCGGACGGATGTCGGACGGAGATTGAGAGTAGCCCCCCAGTTCCGAATCCGAAAAATGGCGGTTCGAAATGTCACAGGGATAATTTTATCTCTAGGTGTGCAAGCGATATTCGTACTTTCTCGAATTCGAATTGTACTTAGTGCACAAGGTCCGAGTTTTCTAGATTTGTATAGTTTCTGTTACCGAACGAATACGAAACTGATGCAGTGCGCAAGCGCACATCAAATTAGACTATGAAAAAAGTTGTTGGGTAATTACGTTCTTACAATCTTTAAGCTTCGATCCTGATGTTGTAATTTTGCTGATGTGGCCATATTATATGCCAAAGAACGAAAGGACTGTCACCACACACGTCGTGATAGTTTTTTTACTATATCACGCGTAATACATATTTTTCGAAATGCTACAGCGCGAATGAATATACCTACTGCTTGATTAATTTACTGAATATTGCCACTAAAATGGAAACCTTTAAGCCAGTCAGGATTTATTACGAGAAAGATTTATTTTAGGAAATCTATTGTAAATCCCAATTTTTTATTTTAGTCTATTGTCGAAGTCTATCTTTATGAAGACAGACTTCGTCAATAGGTAGCGGTTGATCTCTAGGTCGTAAATTTATGACCTTTTTTTTTTTCAAAATAAAGATTTAACATAGGCCGGGAAGTCAGGGAAAAGAGTTGCAAGGCCTCAGCAACAAGGCCTTTTATTATACGAGTCAGGCCGTTCCCGTCGTGATATATATACCTACTTGTGTTTTTTGTTTGCAAACCATGCGAGAAATACCTACAATCCATTAATGTACTTTCGCTTTTCTCACTAGAACTCATTTTTGCAAATAAAATATAAAAAATCCAAAAAATTGGAAATAATAAAAGAGTATTTTTGTTTATTTTAGCGTTTTTTTAAATATATGGTGCAGGTATATTCGTGCACCAGAATTAAATGCAAAATAAGCGTAGTAAAGACAATATTTTTTTAACTTTCGCAATTGCGGATACTGACGCCGCTGAACAGTTAGCCTTATGACAGTTTTTCTTTAGTTTGTTGACATAGATCGTTGTTAGTATATGGATATCCAAAATTTAAAATTTTAGAGCAGCAGACAGAAATGGACTGAGGCTGGCTAAGAATTGCGCGTTCCGGGTTCTTTTCTTGAAGGTATTGCAAATATTTCCGAGCATGCTTGAGAAAAATAATTTACATAATTTAAAATAATTTTGATTAAAACCAGTGAAGTCCCACCTAAATTGTACTTTATATTCTGAGTGTATAAAAACTGTCCAGATATAGATACTTACTTTCCTAAACATGAGAGAACTGGTAGCGACCCTGAGCTTCATTCCGTACTGTTGACAATACAGGTTCCCGTGATGGCCGAAGAATGCGAAAAGCCAGTTGGTAACAATTAGTCCCAGTGCATAGTATGTGGCTGTTAACTTATCTATGGGTCGCTCCACAGACCAGTAGCTTAGCAGTTGAGAGAATAACAGTGGACTGCTGGTTCTGTGCGAATATAACACAATAATGAAAGGCTATAATAGACTCTTATCGTAACCTCAATATACATAGATACGCTAAAGTGCATTATTTGATTTCGGTCCGTAAATGTAGTTAAAATTAGCTAAAAGGCTGAGAAAACGAAAAACATTATAATGTTTTTTTATGTAAAGGAGGAGGCAAACGAGGAGATGAGCCATTTGATGGGAGGTGGTCATCGTCGCTGATGGACATTTACAACACCAGATGAGCTGCCTATGCATTGCCAACCAATGAGAGGCCTGTAAATACGCGTTTTAAAGAACCCCTTGTCATGGCGAAAAGGAAATACTTCAGGAAGAGGATCATTCCACATCTTGCAGGTTCGAGGAAGGCAAGAACGAAATACCCGGGTGGTCTTATAATGCCAGGCATCTAAGATGTGGGGATGGGCTCTACTCCTTTGGCAGGAGGTGCGATTGTGGAAACGAGACGGTGACACCAGAGCACTCTCCATTATAAAGACAGTAGAACACATACAGAGAGCCAACGTCTCTCCGTAGGCTAAGGGGCTCCGTATCGTCTGCGAGTTTGGGATCATCGACAATACGAATAGATCTACGTTGGATGGAGTTAAGTGGGTCAAGCTAGTATTTGGGAGCTCCTGCCCAGAGATATATGGGAGCAATACTCCAGTACTCCCATATTCCCGGGCCGTACTTGAGTGTTATACAACAAAAGTCGGTAACCTAGTGAGAAGCACTGCTTCGCTCTATTGAGCACTCCGGGCTTTTTTGAAGCCAGTTTAGCTTTGCTCTCCAAATGACCCCGGAACTGGACTTCGTCCGTGATGACGATTCACCAGTATCCTAATATTCTCAGTTCTGGAACATTGGAGCTTTTACAAATGAGAATTTTTTAGCGGTGAACGCGCACACTTGTAACTTATTTTTATTGAATTGATGTTTGTATTCATCTATTTTTTGTGAAAACACTCCACTAGTTTGTTATTACTATTGTTACAAAAGTCGAACAAACGCAAAGGAAAATTCCAACAACAGTAACAGCAACAGCCACTGATTTGAGTCCAGTCGGATTGAAGGAATTTTTCTTTGTATTTTTTCTCTGTATCAATAATAATAATAATATATTTGTTATTTTCTCTTAAAATAAATTATTAAAACCTTATAGAACAGAAAAAATAATAGATATTAAAAATTAATATTTGTGCGAGACAAGAGCCTTAACTAGGAAAACCCTGCACCTTAGGTCTATGGTCTCCATCTATATGAAATTAATACACATATTAAGCCAGGGAAATATCAAAGAAAATATGGAGAACCTAATTTAAAGCTCAGGAACATTTTGAATGTTAATATTTATATCGCGGATTATTTGTTTCTCTTTGCTTAATACAAACAAACATTGCGTTTACTTTTAATATTAATATAACATGTCCGCTCATAGAAAATCATTAAACAGTACTGCCAACTACGACAGTGAACAGCACGTCTATATCTTAACCAGTATTAACACCTCCTAAGTTTTCATCCATGAATGTTTCTTATACCTCGAGACGCATCTGAAATTAATGTAGTGTAGTCATAATATAATAACAGGTATGGTAACAAATACAAGTGTATGGACACACACATTCGCATAATCTCGCGATGCATTCGGGTTGCATAGCGCTGGTCGACTCACGCGCGTTTCATTGATACGCGAATATATGCACGGCGCGAGGCGTGGATGTGCACACATACAACCCGCGCTGCTACGTTTTTATGGAGTAACCATACTTGTTTACATTTGTTGACGTGTTGTGTCGTGACGCGTCAGAACCGTATCGGTTTCATACACACAATACAAGCCGTCATGTATGTGTTTGTGCGCCTAATGTAGATCTTCTGTTTGATCATATTTCAATGTAAGCAGCCGTTGGGCAACAGTTTGTTTACAAGAATAGATTAACAACTTTATTATATATGAAACCACACAGGAATAAAAACGATACGTGTAACGTTAACAATTTACCGCTCATTAGTGCTACACTGACGTAATTGCACTTTGTGGCAAACTTGAGTATGTCAAAACATTTATAGCAAGTGTTTACGTTTGGAGGACAATCGTCTGAAATATGTTAAGATTCAAATCTTTCCTGACCCTTAAACTAGGTTCTCCATAACTATCTCTGATTTCCCTGCCTTAGTCTACGCATAAATTTCGTAAAGGTGGAGATCAAGTCCTAAGGTAAAAAATAAACTTTTAAGTTTTCGTTGTACCATCTAACACTTTTTAGATCTACACTATTTGTTGAGCAAGGGAGTAAGTACAATGGTGCAAGCATCCTCCTTTTGTGTGCACAGAGTTATGACCGTTTAGAGCGATATCTACTAAATTTTTTTTGTACGAAAGTAAAATCAGATGAATTAGTAAAAGTCACGAAACCAAAGTTGATGTTAGTAAGTAATATAGTCCTGTGAGGGTGTTAGTATTTTACAAATAACCCTTTATATGCAGACTGTATATACAGAATGTGCTTTTTCACACTTTATCCGTAAATTGTTCACCTATCTATCCCTTTTGAACATAAAATATTTGTGATTCAGAGTTTTAGCTAAACTATTCATGCATAATACTTTTATATGAAAGAAGGAATAATATTCAATTCGATAAAAGTTTGAGGTACACAGTAGTATCTCAAAAAAATACTCTGTACTGTAGATTACCATAACAATTAAATGTACAAAATATCCCAAAAAGGTATTATTACCATAAAAAATCGTATTCGTTTTAAAAATTTTTTTTAAAATACATTTACCTTATAATGAACACATGCTGTGTTTTAATTCTAAACCCCTGTTGAACGAACGACGTCATCTTGACGCCTACACAGCTTTGTGTGTAATACTGAATACGACTGTGTTTAATGTTTGGATCCAAAACGTGCAATAAGTTCAGATATACTACCCTGCCTCCCGCGCCTTGTCCGATCTTTACAAGACCTGATCCGTTATAAAGATCTCGATTTTTTTAATAGGACTGCATTTTAAAGTAAAAAGTCCAAAATTTTTAGTTAATACCTCGTTCATTCAAGGCAAATAAAAAAATATATAAATATAATATATTATAAGCTCTGTAGTGGAAAATCAACACGGAAGACGAGCACTCTGGAAGTGATATTTAATAACAAAATCTCATTCATTAAGGTCACTTGGTAAGATCTTAATATCGGTCCTACGCTTGAGATGGATTAATAATACGGGCCTAAGTGACACTTAACGGCTCGCTGTTCATTTGTCTCAGTGCTGCAGTGCGGTGATGAGGTCCTCAAGGACATCCCCATGACAAAGCTCTTAGAGCCCTGTTACACTGAAATACGTCTCTATTTCGATAACATCCATTACAATTGCCATTCGTATACACTTTATTGTTATTTTAGGAGATAAGTTCTTTCTTTACCAGCAAAAAACATCTGGCTTGAAGAAATAAAGAAATAGCTATTTATATCATAATTAAAACAAAAAAGTTAGTATAAATCGTATTTACAATCATAGTGTATTTTAGGCACTGTACAACTTTACACGAAAGAAAACAGTTTATATTTATTATTGTTACAAAAATTGAACATAAAGAAAAATTCCTTCGTTGAGACCGGGCTCGAAAAAGTGTCTATTGCCATGGACACGGTTTCGAATAAAGTCAGACCGAAGAAATTTTTGCTTGTGTTCGATCTTTATGCCAATAATAATAACAAACTACGTGGAGCATCTTTTTTTAAAAAAAAAATGATAATGAAGGTAGTAAAACATCACCATATTCTATAAATAAATTTGTATTTATTGTGTAATCTTTGTAATACCATACTATTATAGCTTTTTTATTATTGATCATTTTCAAGCTTAACTGATTTAACAAAAGACTGATTTCAAGATCCTTTAGAAAGCCTTTAAAAACTCTACAAATATTTAAATTGTGATAAGAAAAATAACAATGGGCAAAACTGATTACATTAGCAATGCAGATTAATTAGAGATCTGCAATTTTTGTTGTACTTTTTCATACTTACTCTCATTGACGTTATATAACGCATTGTTATGGTATAAGGTTCCAGGTGTTCCTATTCAAATGTAATGAGAACAAATAACATATTATATGGTAAACTATAAAATAGCATCAATAATTAAAGTTCAAGTTGCCAAAAGATTAAATTTGACATTTCGAAATTTTGATAATTGTTTGTACTATAAATATGGCATTACAGTTTTAATGTATTAACTTAAACTTACCTCAACCCTACAGATAGGAACTGCATTAAACCCCCAGGCAGGAAGCTCCACCCGAAGGCTCTTATTAAGGCCTTCGTGAAGGAAGGTTCTCTGCCCTCCGCCCGTGCTGTGTTTTGTTCTTCGAGCCAAGTTCTGTATAGGGGAACGTAAAATCATATAAAATACCGACTATAACTTTGTTTTTTGTTTTGGATTTTTGTTTGATTTTGTTGAGACGAAATAAAGAGCTGCATTCGCATTCTGTTTTTTCATGATGAAAGCGACAGAAAAACCAGAATACGAACCACTCTTTATTTCGTCTCAATAAAAAAAACAACATCCAAAACAAAAGACAAACCAAAATAGACATTCTGTCAGTCTGCCGCCTGCTGGCCGGTTATACGAAGCAGGCGGCGTCAAAGAAAGTCATAATAACGATAAGAAATATTATAAATTAAAATATATACATAAATTACACGAATTAAACACAAATTAAATACACAAAATTTTTATATTACTAAAGTAACAATAAATGAATGTAATAAATTATAATAGAGAATAGGATGCATAAGGAGGCATGTCACACGGGTAGGTAAAGAAACATGTAAAGATAGGAGTTGTTGGAGGAAGAAGGAACGGTGAAATCTGGAACAAGATAAAAAATGTGTGTGTAAAATGTAACATTAAAATGTTTATTATCTATGTTTACGCATCCATTAGCAACGAATGTAAATAATCACAAACAATGTAAAAAATAATAAACCAAGAACAGTAAATGTATGTAGTAGAAGTAGTTAGTTAGCGTCAGACGCGTGCCAACTATAGGTCTCGAAAGATCTATCTGAGCTCAATCCGAAATTTTCGCTTTTTATGATATGTTTGTGTCATTCTTTCGAGCAAATTTTCTTAAATCCTAGAAAAATGCCATATTGTGCCGTTTTGTAGCGCAAAAATGATTGCCGCACCAAAAATAATATCCGTGGTGGTATTTCATATCATCGGAAAGTCGTATTGTAATAAATTTTAAATTTTCAGTTTATCGTAATAATATCTGTTACAAGAAACGACAGTAAAGCTAATACTCCTGCAATATGGTCGCTTCTTGTTTGGAGAACTAAATTAATAACTCCAATTCGTCGTCGTTCAGAAATTAACCGCAAGATGGCAGCACATTGGTTAAATTTTCAGAATATCAAACATCGTAACTTGTAATAATAGGTATTCAACTTTCAACGACACTTCAACTACAACAGGGTTAAGTAATCTATGACCAACTGCCTCCGTGGCTGAACGGTAACTATGCTGGACTGCCACGCAGAGGTCCCGAGTTCGATTCCGACTGTCCGACCCGGGGGTCGGGAGAAATATTTGTATGGCCGACATTCACAGGGTAAAGTTTAAATTACGAGTATGTTAACGATCCAGAATTTGTTATTTCTTTTTAAATTCGAAACTACGACCAATTAATACCAAGATTTAGTAGTGTTTCAAATTAAGAATGTGTGAGTTTTGGCGACATCGGCTCTGATAGTAATGGAGGCAGCACTTCCATTGTTTTTTTCCGTGCTGTAAACTCATCGCCAAGGTACAGATAATTGGTGCGGTAGTTAAGCAGATTATTGTTATTATTAAGTTATGTATATTCACATTGAGAATGAATCGTCGAATATTAATCTTACCTCGATTAGATATTGTAGACATGGTAAATTTTCTTGCGCTTCGACAGCTAACCGTAATCACAAGATGATGGATCACATATCACTATAATATATACAAATAGTATTTTGTGTGATCCATCCATTAGGTTAATTGTTTATTGGTCTTAATAGATATATACTAATTTACATTCTGTGATGCATTTTTCTGGAATATTATTTAAGGTAAAGAATGTTAACCAGAGTGCAATAAGGATTTTAGTCCTTTTCTAGTTAGTTGGAACCCTTGTGAAAGAGTTCATCCAGGGAAGTATTGCCACCATACCTATTCCTGCCGCCAAGCAGTAGTGTCACCGTTACTGTGTACCGGTTTTGAAGGGTAAGGGTGCTGGTGAAATTACAGGCACACGGGACTTGTCAAGTTATGTCTCAGGGTGACAGACGCAATGGCAGTGCTCCTCAGATGTTTGCGATTTAAAGCTATGAGTGTCACTGCAACCGTTGTGGACAGGCGTGTAACTTATCATCCGGCGCACAGACTTGTTCGTCGCGTCACTTGTTATTACAAAAAAAGATTAAACAAGGTTAATTCAATTATAAAGCCAATAATTGCGGCGTACAATATTCTTACTTCTTTTTAATTCTATTAAGAATTATGAAATACATAGATATAATAACCATGTGCCAAACAACCACACCAATTACCTACCTGATCCAGACCGATCCAAAGAGACAGAAGCGGAACATCTATACCAGAATCACTTTAGAAAAGTTCACTTCCCAAATTGATCTTACGACGAATATAACCTGGGACAGATGGAAATATTTAAAAAAGCCTTTGTAGCCTAATAGTTTGACCTACCGCCTCTCAAGCAAAGGGTCGTGGGTTAGAATCCGGGCTCGCACCTCTGAATTTCTCGGAATTTATGTGCGAAATTTAATTTCAAATTAACCGTCAGCTTTTCTTCGAAGAAAAACGTCGTGATGAGACCTGCACGTCAAATAAGGTTCACTATCCTTGGCAAACGTGTGAAGTCCCAAACCCGCATTGGACCAGCGTGGCGGACTGTGGCCTGAGCCGTCGTCTAAGAGGAGACCTTGATGATAAAATCAATTATAAGATGCCTTGTGGGTGCCTCGGTCGCGCGGGTCAATTCCGATCAGTACCGCGTCGCACTGCACTTCCCGAAAAAACCCTCGGGTTATAGGACCGACCGACCTACCTGCCGAACTAAGAAACGAATGTTGTGAGGAAACGTTCAGGTGCAGACTGAATAAATATACTAAAACTAAAACTTGTTCTGAGTTTTTTTATTTTTTTTTATTTTTAGTTTTTTTTATTTTTATTTAGTTCAAAGCAAGAACGAACATAACAAGAATAAACATTATACAAATTTTCCACGATTAAATTTACTCACAACGCAAACATTTTGCATAAAATAAGGAAACTTTAACGGAGTTGAATTAAATTGTTAAACATATTAACTCGGTATCGCTGAGAAATAAACAGAAATGCAAAGTACCTACACGCGCTATCACCAGGTGTTTGTCCAATTGTAGGTATTTCCTTATAGATTGTCGTCATAATATTGTTATGTACGGCCAGCAAGTTCAATCGTTTTGCTGGCTCAGAGCCCAACGGCTTGAACTTAATATTATTTGCTTTCGTTATCCAGGCGAGGTTTGCCAATAGTGGTTGCATTGATTCTTCAATTTATTGCAAAAGAACTTAAAAATATTAAGTAGATAAGGTATATATTACAACAGAGCCCTAGCTTCGTTGTCGCTATACCCGAGGGCAAATGATTTCTTCATGATTTCTCTTTTTCTTAGCCTGTGATAATTGTTAAACACATTTAGGAAAAAATTATTCTAGTTTCTCAATTATCACATCGATAAGAACACCGCAACGTCCGCTATATAAACATTATGTCTATAATACATCGATTTAGAGATAAACACTGAACATGATTTAATAGAACGCGGTCTACTTTTTATGGAAAAATTCTATTTCTTTTAATCAATAAGGTCACGATAATCTTCGTGTTTCATTTGTGCAAATATAAAAAAATGTTCTCATAACATTGTCTATTTAACGAGTTTTTAGCTTGTCGCGATAGTTACACATAGGAAATGAAACTATTATTTGATCGCGTATATTTGTTATTTAAGAATACTAACGCTTCGGGTCCTTTACAGGTCTCAGTCAACCGTAATTATGGGACCTGTAAAGGGTCCGAAACGTTGGTTTGTTTTAAAAAACAAGTATGCGCGATGAAGATCCGAAAAAATAGTTTCACTATTAAGTAAGTCGAGTGGTTCGAGGTTGATTTTGCATTGTTGTAGGTACATTTCATAAATTTTAGTTGAAAAAGGATTTAATTTGATAAAAGTTTATTTATTCTTGTATTTTTACTTCTTCTTGTATTGATACTCAATGACGGGACGAACAAATCGTGCGCTTGCTGGTAAGCGACACGCCTGTCCACAACAGTTGTAGCACCACACGGAACTTTAAATGCAATGATCTGAGATGCACTGCCTCTACGCTCATCACCCTGAGACTTAAGTTGAAAAGTCCCATGTGCCTGTAAATTCACAAGCACCCTTACCCTTCAAAACCGGAACGCAGTATTGCTCACATTACTGCTTGGCGGCAGAAATTGGTAAGGTTGCAGTACTTCCCTGGACGAACTCCCTCACAAGAAGCTGTACTGCTACTAATCAACGTTACATTTTTTTTAAATTTTCAGCTACTTATGCTTTATCACGAAACCTTTCAAAAATACATATTTTAATTAATTTCCATCATTTTCAATTAGTCGATGTCAAAAACATATTTAATGTAATTTTACTTTATACTTTTTAAGACCTTTGGACACATTCAAGCAAAACCTTTTCTGACAGAACAGAACAGTGGTATAACACTTTGAAGACGATTTTCATAAAGCCTGCAATGGATTTTTCATATCTTTCAATAATTTCCCCCCATTCGACTCAAATATGAAAATATATATTATATACATTGACTTACAAATAAATGGACGACGGATCTAATACAAAAACCACGAAAAAAATGTCCCAAGTCAACCTATTCGAAATTTAAATTGTAATGTCGTCGCAGTATCGCGCTGTCAGTCGAACAAATGAAGACTAAAGCGGAGTTTAGCGCTCTGTATACGATTTTAGCGCCTTACCATTGCGGACACTTTTTAGCGCGGACCCGACGTCCATATAATTGTAAGTCAATGATTATATATCTATAATTCAGGCAGATTTCCAAACTTAACTAGCCAATATATTTCATCATTATCACTTCGAAATAGGCAAACACACATCATTATTGTATATGGGTGAACGCGTAATTAAACGAAGCTTGTTTTTTTCAAACCTACATGTTAATCATATTCCGCAATGCGTCAAGCCTACTCCGCCTATCGCAAATGGAAATGCACTCATGCATCTTCCATTTTTATAAGTTATTTTAACCTCGTAACT